ACCACCTATATAATTATACCGTACATCTGTCCCAATGCAGTACCATATTAAGTACCTTCCTTTCCACCACGACGCTAGGCGCTTCGACGCTAGGTGCCTCCGACGCTGCGGCGTGCCTAAATCGACGCAGTCACAACGCTAGATGAAATTAGTACATAATCTAATGTCTGTATTTTCAGTGGTGAGTCAAAAGATTTATGTAACTTTCTTTGAGATACTACCGGGGTTTCGTTTAAAATATTGCTGTAAAATATTATCAATAAACCACATGGCCTTCAGGTCATACACCCCGAAAGACAGTATCTATCTATCTGAATTAGGGCGTGATTCAAAGCCCACTTGTACTGAAGCTCTAGGCTTATTGTACCCCTCACAGTTTCTATCCCATCCGATTGATTTTCTTGATGAATTCAAGAATATGTCTGATGGGCGCTTTCGCGATTTCTTCAGGCACCCCGAAGTACCCCAGACAACACACCAAATCCCAGAGATATCCGCAGAATATCTTTTGTGGATATCCAATATATCCACAGGATATCAGAAATATTCCGTGGATCTAATATGGATATCGAAATGTCCGTCTATATCCAGGATATAGAAGATATCCTAATGGATATCCAGCAAAATATCTAATGGGTATCTTCCAGACAATACAAGAAATCCCAGAGATATACACAGAATATATTTTGTGGATATTCAATATGGATATCCAACCAAATGTCCGTCTATATCCCAGGATATAGGAGATATTCGGATATTCAGCAAAATATTTTATGGGTATCTTTAGTAGAGGTTCATAAGTAACCAATGATTATTGAATAACGTCGAAAGAAAATAGCAGAGATAAAAAATATTTTCAATACTCAAAATATTTACAACACTCTGCCTTTGATTTTGCCCACTAAGGAGAAAGTCATCCTCATTAGGACTCTTCAGCAATAAATGAAAATTCTCGACTCCAGTCTCTAATGGAGTGATTAGGACACACATTTCGATCGAACTCAATTACGGCGGGTCGAGCATGAGTAGATGCGATAGTGGTATCGCCATCTATACTTAGTAAGCAGAATCAAATAACATCTAGTGGATATCCACGATGGTTTGCGTTCGCGCCTAGACTTTGATATATTTAGTGGATGTTCATGGGATATTGAATACACCTTAAAAAAATTAATCTTAAATATCTGAACGGTACTATTAGCCACATTGGCGAGCACAATGGCGTAATTTTTTAATAATTTGCTATATAATTACTATTATTTATGGACATTTGCATGTCTATAAATTACATTTCATGGATATAAAATAGATATCTACCATGGACTGGACATTCAGTGGATATTGGGATGTTCAGTAGATATCCAAAGGATTTGGTGGTGCTGTCTGGGTAACGACTTCACAAAGGGACTTATTTAAACCAGTTGTTATAAGAAAATTTAACACATTGATGGGCGTCTTGTTATCACTCATTTCAGTTGTTTCATAAACAACACTTAACTGGGACTTTAATGCTGGAATATCGAAAAAATTTCCATAATTTAATTTTAGTGAATTAAAAGCTTCCGATGGAAATTTTGATGAATCGTAGTTACTAATATTAAAATTGCACAATTCAACAAATTTTAATTCGTTAAAGTTTTGAAATCGAGAGTTCATTTGTTGTAAAATATTATCAAAAATTTCGGCGTATAATCGACGATAGGAGGTCTCTCTGTCGCCGACATTATCAATTCTAATTCTCTTTCTTTCAGGTTCTAAGCCAATGTTTTGAGTCTTATTCCAAAAGTGTTCAAACTGATCTCGTTTTTTATTCATTTTATTTTTAAAATCATTAATTTGTTTAATGCAAAAGCCAATGTCATTTGACTTTGTCTGTAAAATGTCAGTAAAAGGAAAAATCTCTGCAAAAATGTTAAGCAAAAAATTGAAATCAAAGTTTTGTTTGAGCCAATGCAAATACCCTTTAGCAGTAGTAACATATGTTTCTTTATTATCCGAAAGGTCTTAAAAAAAGTTTATCAAAGAATCACGGTATTGAAACACTGTTTGCACTAAACGTCCATTGTAGTTCCATCGCGTCGGAGTAACTTTTGGAAACCTTCTTTGAACGTGAACGTCCAAAGCGCGAGTTCTTTTCGATGACTTTGAAAAGAAGGAAGCCAAACCACCAAGCGTCGAAAAGAAAACGTCAAAAAGAAAAACAACTACGAAAAACAAACCGAAATCTACCTAAAATCTAAGATTTTCCTCACACGTCGATTCGCAGTGCGAATTACAATAAGCGTAAGGCGACGTAATAATCGCTGCCTCTCGACCGTATTGGTTCAAACTAATTGTCCTCCCTGAGTTCACATGGTAGATCCCAGCTCCTGTGCTGTTTTTAATTTTCGAACCGTCTGTATACCAGATTGATTCGCTTTGTTTTTCCCTATTTTCCCGGCTTTTGGCCCTTTCTGGTATTTGAATATCAAAAGGTTTCCTGAAGTCGTGAATAATGGGCGTTCTATCCGATGGCATTCTTAGTACCGGATTTTGTTTTAATTTCTTCAATATCATTGTGTGGTGTCTTTTTCTCGAAAGTTCCCATCTAAATCCATTAGTAAACACCCTGTATGCCGCCGTCATAGCCTCCTTCTCCACCACAAGGTGTAGTGAAGGAAGACCTAGCAGTAGCTCCATTGCTGCTGTGGGCGTAGTTCTAAATGACCCTGTTATTATTAGACAGGCTAGTCTTATTTGTACCTTGTCTAATTTTCTTTTAGCTGTTATGCTTTTAGTCTTGTGTCACCATATGACTGATGAGTAAGTTATAACAGGTACTACAACCATAGTGTAAAGCCAGTGCATCATACTTGGTTTAAGCCCCCATGCGTTCCCTACCATCCGTCTACAGGCCCATAGTATGCGGGTCCCGGTATCCATGTCATGGTAAACTTGGGTTTGATTACTTCCCCAGAGTCTATGACTTTGAGTTTAGCACCTTTTGACGGTCTGCTCAGTCCCATCCGGCCCCACATTTGATGTGGTACCAGTTAGTCCAGAACCCGCAGCTCTCGCATCCTTAGCCCTTTTGGTTTTTCCTTTTTCCGGCGTGCTGGTATCAGACCGGTTTCTCTTTTGAGCCCCGGTTCGTCCCTGCTCGCTGGACACAGCCTTAGCTGTGTTTTTTTGTTTTGCCCTCCCTGAGGTACTAGGACTCGCGTTTTGTTCCATCTCCGTAGAGCTAGGGCCAGATGCTTGCCCCCGTACCCCTTGTCCAGCATTTACTGGCATAGTGGTCCGCCCTGTGCCGGAAGAACTAGAGGTCCAGCCTCACTCCCCACATCTAATGATGCGGAGGATGCGCCGCCCTGTTCCTCCTGCTCAGAGGTCCCTCTAGTGCCGGTGTTTTGTCGGAGCTTCTTCTGCTTTCGCCTGAAAGCTCCAGATTTTTTTTGTGTTTTTTGTTGTCCTTATTTTCCATATAAGTCCCACGAGTAGCTAGGGAAAGATTCGTCACTCCTGACAGAGCCCCGCATTATCAGGAGAAGGCTGGTTACTTGGGGGGTGTCGCCCGGTGTCCCCAAGGGAACGTTCGATGTCGCATATATCCCTGCGACAATTCATCCGTCGGCACGTTACCTTACTCCTTAGATTGGGGGAGTTGGTAATGCGGCGGTAGACTTCGCAAAAGATTTTGAGAGTTTTTAGGCTCTCACTCTACTTATATCTACCACTAACCAAGAAATCCTGGCCGTCCTCCCATCCACCACCTGGAGACGCGCTCAGTTGGCACTCAACCGCTGAGCCGAAAGACAGTAAGGATAAACATCTGTTCTCGATGGGTGAAATTTTGAGTATTTTAATAGAAATTATAAAAATCAATATTAAGAAATATACAGTGTTGTATTAAGTTATTTCAATAGAAATAATAATCAATATTAAAACATATACAGGGTTGTATTAAGTTAATTCAATAGAAATTATAAAAATCAATATTTTAGAAATATACAAGGATGTGTTATCTTGGATAAATTGTACAAAGCAAGATGGTAAAGTTTAATAGTAAGTTAACCAACTGGTGAATACGCTGTTCGTTAGCTCAAGGGGGGACACCTATACGCTAAGCAACCCGTTCTACTATGTTTTCATATTTCATATTTATTTATTGTATCTTTACAAGTTTAAAATTATTATCATTTCTAATAATATTATAAAACTTACAGACTAGTCCCAATAAAAATTATAGTAAAAAAAATTAAAATTTGAATTTGAAACAAAGTATATGTGAAATCAACAGTAAGGTAATTAACTGGCGAATTGGCGCTGTTCGTTACTTCCGTTGGTCATCACCTCTATACTCTTCGAAATATTTACCTAAGAGGGCCTGTGTATATCTAGAATAGAATCAAATCAACTCAATAGTTAATCAACTGGCGAATTGACGCTGTTCGTTAACTCCGTTGGTCATCAACCTAAATAAAATATAATATATTGATAGCAAATGAATATGGTCTACGTTTGAACGGGACTCAAGTGAGATCTCAGTAAATAGTAACAATTGTAATATACTTTGCTAATTATTGCATCACATTTAAAGTATTAAAAATAAAAAGAATTTAAATATGAATTTGTACGTTTTATTTATCAATTTGCATCGAATCCTGGTTTACATTAATTAACATTATCACAACGTGGGTATATAAATTATCAATTAATTAACTAGACGATCACTTTGTAAACTTGTGAGGTAAATAATAAAAGAGAGTAAAATAAAATAACGATCAGAAAAAATAAGGAGGGGACAGGGGGTGGGCCGTCACAGTGTTGTAAAGCAATCGGAAGGATGTTCCCACCTTACATATACAGATAGTACTTCATTCTTTTAAATGAATACAGTGTACTCAACAAATAACCTTTCTATATCCCAAATCCAACATGATGGGCCTTAGTTTGAAATCGACCTGCAATGCTTACTATTAAAAAAAAAAATATATTAGAGATGAATAACAACAAAAAAACCAATGTGAAAAACCGTCCAGTTTTATTGACAAACAATAATTACACTTTAATAAAATAAAAAAAGCTCGCGTATTTTATTTTCACATAATAGATGGCGTTCCTATTACATTTATATAAAATATTATAAATAGAATTAAACGATCTCAAAAAAAAAGACTTCCACCATAATTAATCCTCCAAAAAGAAATACTGTCCAGCTCGTTTCTGTTCCACATCCTTCACGGACTCCAATTTGTTGATTCTCGGTCGGAAGTTGTTCGGATCGCGCCGGAAAGTGATGCCCAGCAGTTCCAAGAAACGATTCATGCCAGCCAACAGGTTTTGCGGAGTATTTGCGATGGTTTTTACAGACGGTGAACCCTCAAAGACAATCACACGGTCGGCCAAATAGGTTGCCATGATGAAATCGTGCTCGACCACGAAACCCGTCTTTTTTGCGTGCAGAATGAATCTAGAAAAAAACCATCAAATGAATATAAAATGCAATTTCAAATTAAAGTGAATATCACTTGTTTAAATGATATTTGGATACATCGTTTTAAAATAATTTACCTCGTTACTTTAGCAAATTTCACTTGTCAAAATAGCTAGTCACTTGAAAAATTAAATGTCAAGTGAAAAACAGTCATCAAGGCATTTATTTGACACTATAAACTGTCAAAATGACATTTAAATGCATAGTTTTAAAATATTTTACCATTTTATTACTTTAACAAATTCCACTTATCAAAGTAGCTAGTCACTTATCAAATTGAATGTCAAGTGAAAAGGTTATTTGGCAGTCAGCAACGCAATTAATTGACATTATGAACTGTAAAATTTCACTTGTCAAATTGATATTTGAATACATTGTTTTAAAATATTTTATCTCATTACTTCAGCAAATTCCACTTGTCCAAATAGCTAGTCACTCGTCAAATTATATGTCAAGTGAAGGACAGTCATCAACACAATTAAATGACACTATGAACTGTAAAATTTCACTTGTCAAATTGACATTTAAACACATAGTTCTAAAATATTTTACCATTTTATTACTTTAGCAAATTCTACTTATTAAAATAGCTCGTCACTTATCAAATTGAATGTCAACCGAAAAGTTTATTTGACGGTCAGCATCGCAATTAATTGACACGAGTGAACTGCAAAATTTCACTTGTTCAAATATTTGAATAGATCATTTGAAAATATTTTATCTCATTAAGAAATTTCCAGTTGTCAAAATAGCTAGGTCACTTGTCATATTAAATGTCAAGTGAAAGACAGTCATCAACGCAATTAATTGACACTATAAACTGTCAAATTTCACTTGGCCAAATGACATTTGAATTCGTTTTACCTTTTTATTACTTTAGCAGCCACCAAACGTTGTTCAGAGTCCAGATAAGCACTGGGTTCATCTACTAGGTAAACATCAGCGGGTTTACCTAGACACAGTGTCATTGCTACTCTCTGCAATTCTCCTCCTGACAAGTTCTGAACTTCTTGGTCAATTATGTCTTCAATTTTCAAGGGTTTCATAACATCTGCTATGAACTAAAATAAAATATTTATGATGTTTCATCTAATAACTTTAGCAGAAGAAGCTTGGATCATATATATTTACCTGTGGATGAATATAGGCATCCCGAATTTTTTCATGTAGTAATTGCCTAACTAATCCTTGTGACTTGGGACTAATTTTTTGGGGCTTATAACTTATATGAAGTTGAGGCAAATCCTCTAAAATAAAAAAAAATATGAAGATCAAAATGTTCCTTAACCAGCAGTTAGCAGGATCCTTTTGTGTTCTTTATTTAGGAAGTATTTTAAAAATTTGGTTAGAATTAGATTATTACCTGAACCAGTATCAGGCACCAGATTACCAGCCAACATTCTAATAAACGTAGTTTTACCGGTCCCATTTTCGCCTAGGAGAACCAAAATTTCCGAATCCGAAAACTGTCCTTGTACAACATTAAGTTCGAAGTTACCCATTGTTTTTCTCATCGCCGGATATTCATAGTGATTCATACGTTTAATTTCTTCTTCGTTTGCTGATTCAGCTACCTTGAACACCAAAGATTCGTCCCGGAAGCGCAGATTCTCGGTTGGCACAAAACCGTCCAAAAATATGTTGATACCTACGGAAAAACAAGTATTTTAATGAAAGGAAAAAATTACTCAAATATCTTGGCAACTTTTATTTAAAGAATGAGTAATATTTTCAGCACACATAAAAAGTAAAGCTGTACTTTTCTCTAATAGATAACACCTTACTACAAGTATTTAAAAGGATAAATGTGCAGTTTATTGAAGAAACATTGTATATGTATTATAGACAGTGGTGAAGCTTCCATAGTTGCGGGTGATGCGTTGCATCCCTTCAAAATATTGTCAGCTAATATTTTTTTATTTGAAATAAAATCAATAAAATCTTTTATAATAAATTGAAACTCTCAGTGAATTCAATCAAATTCAATTATTTATATGTGTATTTGTTGAGCTTTATAGAATACGCTCTACTACACTACAAATAGAAATATATTACGACAGGGCTATGAAGCGAGATGCAATGTCTCTTATTACATCTTGAACGCCTGGTAGGGCAAGCCGAGGTCAGCGACTTTTCGGGCCATGATCCGTGATTTCGCGTTTGTCTGCTGCTTTCGATGATGGGTGATGCAGATTGATCTTAATTTAAAATCTAACAGATAACATTTTTGTTTTTTTTTTTACGTTAACTGTCCTACTTTAATTTAGTTTATTTTTTTTATTATTTTGAATTTTTTTAACCTGCCATATTTTTTTTGTATACTTTATTTGTGAGTCCAAAATTAAACACTTAAAAAAAAAGAAATATTGTTTTATCACTTTAGATTGACAAAGTGGCATTTTAATGTCTCAAAATTTAGAAAAAAGACTCTTGAAGTTAAAACTAGAATTAAAATTTAAATGTCTTTACACCACTGAAGCGAGAATTAAAAACCTTTTCAAATGAACTATCACTTGACAATGCTTGTAAGTAATTTAAACAAGCAGTAACAAAATGTACTTCAACAAAAATAAAAATCAATGAGACTGGAGCATTTCTAGAAACATTTTAGTGGGATACTTGGGATGTGCACTTCATATTATCCACACATGTTAGTTAATTAAATAACTTCTTTTTTATAGCTTACCTTCACGGACTGAGAAAGGCATTGTAACAACACCATAAGCTCCAGGAACTCCATAAAGACAGCAAATAAAATCAGAAAGGTAATCAAGGACACTCAAGTCGTGCTCTACCACAATAATAAACCTAAAAATAAAATTAAGTTTAATTTTTTTAACCAAATTGTTGAGTTTCATAAATTGTAAATAAAAAAGAACTTACTTGCTAGGATGCAACAAAGAACGGATCGTTCTAGCTGCATTGAGACGTTGTTTTACATCTAAATATGATGAAGGTTCATCAAACATAAAAATATCTCCATTTTGGATACACACCATAGCACAAGCGAATCTTTGTAGCTCCCCTCCAGATAAAGCAGATATCTCACGTTCTTTAATGTGTGCTAGATCTAAAATTTAATAAAATACTTAATTGTTCGTATATAACAAGATATTTTATCATATTTAACTTACCTAACATTCTACATATATCATTCATATTATCTAACTCATGTTTTCTTTCAAGTAGTGCACCAACTGTGCCTTTAACAGCTTTGGGAATTTGATCAACATACTGAGGTTTAATCAAAGCTTTTAAATCATCCTCTAAAATTTTTGTGAAATAGTTTTGTAATTCACTCCCCCTAAAGTGACTCAGGATTTCAGTCCAGTCTGGAGGGTCCTAAAAATATTTGGTTCTTTATAAAAGAGACAATGTAAACAAATAATTTTTTACCATAAATCTTCCCAAGTTTGGTTTCTGTTTACCAGCCAGAATTTTAAGGGCAGTAGATTTGCCTATTCCATTAGTACCTACTAATCCTAGTACTTCACCTGGGCGAGGTATAGGCAGTCTGTGTAGCTTGAAAGAGTTCTTGCCATAGCGATGAGTAGTTTCTTTTTGCAAATTACTTGGCAAATTAATGATAGCTATGGCTTCAAATGGGCATTTCTAAAAAATCATATTTCATCAAAAACATCTCTAATTATTTAAATATCTTGTACTTACTTTAACGCAAATACCACAACCTATGCAAAGTTCTTCAGAAATAGTAGCAATTTTATTACTAGGTGTAACTTCAATACAAAGTTTTCCCAATCTAACTACAGGACAGGATTTCTTACATTCCTGCCTACATCTTTTGGGTTTACATTTGTCTGCATTGACGATAGCAATACGAGTCAGTTTATCGGACTCTTCCAATCCTTTTCTTTTCGACATATTGCCTGGAAAAAGGAAACAATATGTTTAATTTCCAGGGAATTCTAACCTCAACTAGTTATATGAAACTGACAATTTAAAAATATTGCATTTGTGTTTTGCTCACTTTTGAGTTACAAAATACTAAACTAGTTATCAAAAATTATCACCTATCTCCTATATTCGTCAACTTAAAAACTTGAAGATTTCTAACGTCACCTTTCAGTACATTGCCATGAGGAAAGGAAGGAATGGACCACTATGAAGTAGCAACGGATGCGTCAAATTATTGAACTACTTGTTGACAAGATGTTTTTTTTAACTACTGCAGGCAGTTTTTTATAAGGCCCGTAATGGAATATTCTTCTTCTTCTTTTGTCAGAAAGTCATTAATCATTTGTCAAAATATGAGAATCTGTCACTTAAAAAAATCCTATTTTGGTTAGATTCAACCGAAACCAGGTATCGGTAACTGGTATAGCCCGAGCTGAAACTATATTTTTGTTTCAAGGAACAGATTCTAGATGGCGCTGTACACAACAATTTACAGAAATCTACAATTGATGGTGGAAAGAGTGGGAGTGTCATTTGTCAATTGTCAGGCATCCATTATCGATTACCTCGCGGTGAATGACATTTGCCATTTTACCTGTATTTTTGTGTTTATCAATATCATATTGTCAATAATTATTATTTGTTTGTATTTGGGTGTGCTCTGGATCCTGGATGAATAAATAGTAAGTATTTTGTAAATAATTGTTTATTGTATTGTCAACTTGGTCTTGTTCAATTGTGTTTTAAATGTTCAATTTGTTTACTTGATCTTGCTGACGATTGAGCTTATTTTAAATTTTTGTGGTCATTTTTAGTTACAAAAGCTGTAATATATCGTATTGTTGTATGCCAAATTGTTTTGTAAACACTCTGAAATCCTAATAACGATTTATTTCAAATTTGAGTATTGGGTGTTCCCAGTCCATTTTTCAAGAATAAAACAACAAATTTGTAAAAACTATTTAGTATGTGATAAACATTTTGAAGATATGTTTAAAGTTCTTGGTGCACGCAGCGATCTAACTGTATTTTTATTTGTTCTAGTACAACCTTTTTCAAGCCCTTTGGAGTGGCAGTAGTATTGCATCGTTGAAGACAAAAACAGCCTAGTCAGGGAAGTAATAGTCACTGTACTTTTTGTATTCATGCCTCACATCTGATTTTTATATTGATTTAGTTCAGATTGTTACTTTTACTGTTTTTTTATTTGTTCTAGTACAAACTTTCTTCAAGCCGTTTGGAATGGCAATATTGGATTGTGGAAGACAAAATAGCATAGTCCGGGAAGTAATGGTCAGTATACCTTTTTTTATTTATGCCTCACTTTCTGTGCTCCCCAATAGATTTGAAGGGTTCAGGAAAAAAAGGGGCCTGGTCACAATTAATTACCAAAATGTTCAGAAAACCAAATTTAATTTAGACTGACTAAATACAAACTTTTGATACTTTAAGGTAATTGATTACAAAAAGATGTTACTTTGTTTAAATGTTGCCTGATTATATTGTACTTTACCACTTAATTTACCAGACAGTTGTAATTTTTTATTCTAAATACTAAAAATGACAAACAAACAGTAGGAAAGTCCTTGGACATAATTTTAAATGCACTGTTTTGCATTTGCTAATACTGGTAATTTACAAAATAGGGCGGACCAGTTCAATTTTGATAAAAATGTGGCTTAGCTGCTTTTTTGTTCCTGTACCCTTCTTGATTTATAAGTTGATTAATATTTATTTTTTGTTTTAGATAAAACTCTTCAACCTCTGTAGACAATGACTTAACTTTCCAGCTAATTAACACGCTACATTTAATTATTCTATTTTGTATGTTTTTTTTGTTTTAATAAATTAATTTTGTTGATCATGCTTTTTAATTTTTTGTAAAAATATTTCAGCTTGTAGTCAAGTTAATATTGGTTCATACTACTCATTTTTTGCTTTATTGTAACAAATATAATTTTATTGCTACAATAAACGTAAAAAAGGAGTTGGTATGAACCTTAGATAAAAGAGACCAGAGATATAACATACACCGGTTTTAAACCTGCGCAAATGTTGTCAATTTCTAAAGAAGGGTTAACGGAGTGGGGGAACTGGGCGGCGACACGCGGCGATCCGAACTCTGTGACAGGGACCGGACTTTGTTTACTAGCATCTTAATGAACTATTAGGTTTATTTAAAAGGTGTTTAATCGAATTTTGTATTATGAAATCAAATTATCGTGATTTTTTAATATCAAACAGATGCCACGACATTTTATGTAAAGAGAAGACCTTTTATAGAATATTTCGTTAGCGTTTATTTACTACGGACTTTTCTGCAAGAGATTACAGTAAAATGTTGAAATAGAATATATTGTTAATAGAGCAAAAAATGATACTCATTGTCTACGAGTATTATAAAAATAGCATGTGCGCCGGCTAATACTGCAAATCTACCCTTATGAGTTGAACATTATATTTTTTCTACGGCTATTACATATTATTAAAAATTAGTCAAAATGAGAAAATGCTGTTTTGTATTGTAACCTCAGAAAAAGTATATTAAGGCTTCTTTCTTTAAGAATATTAATTATTATAAAGGATGAGTCACATAAAACTCTAGAAATGCATATGTCTGAAACCAGATAACATTTTAAAATTTAAATCTATTAAAAGTCATTTGGTCGCTAGGGATGAGTGATTATCGAAATAAATTATCGATAATTGAAAATAATCGATTATTTTCGATCAATAGATTATTTTCAAACGATATATTTTTTGTCATTTCCTTTAAAATCGACTACTTGATTATCTTTGAAAAATCAAAAATAATCGTTTAATTAAAAAGCCAATTAACCGATAAATCAGTGTTTACAAAATATAATATAAATAGAATTATCGTTTATTTTAAATAATCGATTATTTTCAAATAAACCATTTTTTTTCGTTCATGGAAACAGATTATTCGATAATCTTTGAAAAATCAAAAATAATCGATTAATCAAAAATAATCAATTAATTAAAAAGTCGATTAACTGATAAATCGATTTAAAAAAAAAACAGAATGATCGATTATTTTAAATAATTAATTATTTTCGATCAATCGATTATTATCAATAATCTATTTTTATTGTATTTCCTTTAAAATCGATAATTCGATTATCTTTGAAATATCAAAAATAATCAATAATTCCAAAATAATCGCCTAATCGAAAATAACCAATTAATTAAGAAGCCGATTCTATGATAAATCGATTTTCCAAAAAATAAAACGAATTACCTATTATTTTCTAATAATCTTTTTTTCATATTTCCTTTGAAATTGATTATTCGATTATCGAAAATAATTGATTATTAAAAAGCTGATTATCCAATAAATCGATAATTTTAAAAAAATAACCAAAATATCGATTATGTAAAATAACCGATTATATTCAATCGATTATTTTCATATAAAATAAATCTACTTTTTTTGTATTTCTTTAAAATCGATTAATACATTATCTTAAAAAAAAAACGAAAATAATTTATTAAAAACAGCGGATAAATAGATTTTCATTAAAAAATATCAGAATTATCGATAAATCGATTATTTTTGTAACCCCTATCGGCCGCTTGCTTTTATCTGAGCATTTAGCTCCAAAATTTAGAGATTCGGATTTTTTGATCCAGTTATCTTTGAAATCGCATTCGCTTGTATAATAAATAAATATTGCTAAATTTTAGATTTTTTTTAGTAAACGAAAATTATGTTCGAGTTGTTTAGGGGTTTGTAATGTAATGATATTTTTACATTAACACTGTCATTTTAATCTCCGTTTAACACAACGGTGGAATCGGACCTAACTCCTGTAACTTTAGTATTTTTTTTTGCTTGTACTAGATTACTTTGTTTTAAGACTGAAAATTCAATGTCACTTTCGATTTGACCGCAAATAAGATGAACCTTGAAATTTTAAGTAGGTCATCCTGTATTTCATCTAATATTCTTATAAAAATACATTATAAAAATAAAATTTAGCTAGCAACTATGATTCTTTACCTCTTATTTATCTACCAAAAAGGGCTAAAAACTACCTTTAGAAAACATTCTTATAAAACTACTTTTTAAATACAAAATTTCGTTAGCAATAATGCCTATTTACTATTTATTTAAATTAAATGTTCAAAATTTTACCCTTTTGTAAATTTATGTAAGTAATATGAAATCTGAGTTTGTGATGCTTAATATTTATTGAAACCCCTTAATGCGGATCTGAAGTATTCAGCCCAGAGAATCATGGCGCTTTATGTCAAAACGTTAATAAATATTTACCGCTGAAAACGAATATATTCATAACAGTAGTACTTGTATTATAAGTACATACAATTTTTCAAGATACATCGTGACATTTTGAACTTGAAATTGAATAACTAGAACACTTTAAATTGCTAAAATACCAACAAATAAATCAAAAAACAGCTGTCAATGGTGATTAAACTCAGGTGGAGGTGTGATCGCTGAATGGAAATCGGAGCAATTCGGGTGGCGTCGTGCAACAATGATTTTCAATTGGTGGGTTACTTTGGCTTAAAATAGACAACATGCGCAGTGTGCAATGTTACATCTTCGGTCTCTTTAATCTAAGGTATGAACAAATCTTAATTTGACTACCACTTTTAAACTAAATATTGAAGGACCATTTTGAATGTTCCCGCGTTTTGTATTAACTAAAGTGACCGCGAGATGGCGCCACTTCCGCCAAATAGTTCAAAGAACGCCCACCGGGTGTTACAAAACTGTCGCAAATTTTAACATTGCAGTTTCCATTCTAAAAGTAATTGTTCTGTGACCGAAACATTTTGAGAAATGGCCAAAGTAGATATGGAACTCAAAAAAGTAAGTTATTTTAATAATTCTAGATACGTTGCTAAATTGTTGTTTTAGGCCTTTGCAGAATTACAAGAAAAACAGCTAGAAACGTCACAGAAGTTGAGGATAGCAGACATTCAGATAGAGAATTTAAAAAGGACCAAGCAGCATGCGTCGATTACAGAAAGGTAACAAAAATAAATTTTACACTGGCTTGGATAAAATTAGTATATAGTATATTTACAATTCCGTTTCTATAATTGTCAATGTAACATTATTTCTCAGCCAAACACATACTGTGTGAATCTCTAGATCACAAAGACAGGCTCTTTTTGGACAACCCCAGGTTGATCCAACAACGTATAGAACCCACTCACCCAAGGATCTGTACAAACTTGTACAAGGTACAAAGGTGACAAGAGTGGGTGCTGCCAACTAGCATGGGGTAAAACACAATAAGCCAATAGGCTTCAGTGTTATTCGGAGACATAGTCAGACGAGCCCAGGAGAAAAAAAACATTTCTCATTTTTATTTATAGTTGTTTCCATTGAATAAAGCCCTATATATTTCATTTTTCAGAGAAATAGGTTCATTGGATGAATCTATCAAGACTTACGAATCAGTAGGTAGAATGTTTCTTCTCACTCCCATGGACAAAGTAAAAGAAAATTTAAAGACAAAACAGAGCACTGCAGAAGAAAAAATTAAAGTTATAGAAAACAACAAAACATATTTAGAAAACTCACTAAAAGAAGCTACCAATAGCTTGCGAGAACTGGTTCAAACAAAGAAAGAGTCATAAATGTTTTCTCAATTTTTGTATTTTATTGTATCCCAATTTGTAACAATATATAAAACCTATTAAAAACAATAATAAAAAATTAACTAATTTCTTTCAAAGTTGTTTCAAAAAGTAATGGTTCAGATTCTGGTGTCTGATCTACAGAGAATGGTTTGTGTAGTAGCTTGAAAATTCCAGTTCCAATTGGAGCAGGCATTCCCATGATGATATTTTCAGAGACTCCATTGATTTTGTCTGTTTGTCCATAATAAGCTGCATCAAAAAGATGATCTGCAGTTTTTTCAAACTAAAAATAAAAAAAAATGCATTACTACAATTAAATGATTTTTGTGTGTTAATTTTCAATCAAAATTTGAGAAAACCACTTACTGAAGCTAAATTTAATACAGATTGCTTCATTTTTGATAACCCCTGCCTGGTAATTCCCAAAACTTCTCCAGTATGTGTCATTTGTGCTGCTAGTAACATTATATGTCTGTAATCTACGCTCATACCATGATTTTCCATTACCATTTTAATTTCTGTCATAATAGTTTCTCTAAAAGCAGAAAATATATTTTAGTCTTTTTATTATAAGTAGCAAGAATTGTCTGATAACAAATCTGTGAGTGAAAGGTAAGAGGACATAATTTATTTTTGGTAATATTAGCTCGGTAGCCTGATTCAGGCTCCATTCACTCTTTAAACTAAAAACTACCCCTTAAGCGTTTATTCTTTCCAATTAATCACAGTTCAATACACTTAAGTGACAGTTAAAAATCCTAAAATACCTTCGCTCTTGTCCTGCTCCAACCTCTGGAGAACTGAACCCATCTAATAACAAAAAAATTGACTTTACCTTTATGAGCAACAGCGTTGATTAAATTAGCTAATATATGTCGTATTTTCGACATTTTGGGCTACCGTCACACAGCATTTAACACTTGTAAAAATTTTTAATGCAATATAGAACAATAAACAATAAAGGACGTTACACAAATAATTATTAAAGAAATACAAATAATAATACGATATCAATTATTAAAGAAATGAAACTAGCGATCCGGAGCCAGCATACTACCGCCCGATCGATCACACTTCTCTAATTTGTTCTCGTTCCTTATTTTTACCAACATCCTGACGGCTTTTTTCCGCCCCCCTCACTATGAATGGCAAGTGTGTATCATTTTTGCAAAGTCAGCACTTATAAAAACCAAGTAGAACCTTACAACTTATCTTATTGAAACACTGGTTACTGATGAATCAAATTTCTTAAAACTATTAAACAAAAGTTAAATATCGGCGCCGTTGACATATATTTTCACAAGAATTGAAAATATAATTTGGAATACTACAGGAAATTGCTGTGCAGCCATTATATTATAATATATTGTGTTTGAATGCTAATAGATCGGACTCAAATTATGAATTTTTAAACTTGTTTACAGATGGCAATTCTTATTATGCATTTAAATTTTCAAGTTAGATCACTCTGTATTGTTACACTAGGATTGGTGACAAATTATTACAGTGTACTTTTTTGTAATAAATAAAATTAATTTGTACCTTGCAGCTTCTATTCCTAATGTATGATAAACTTCCATAATATTGTTAGAAACAGTTTTTTTTCCTTCTACCCCATACGTAGCCATAACTTCTCGCAAATTGTCGCCTTCTACACAAAGACTGTACGTGGTTTTACCACCCCTATCTTCTCTTGCTATAACTGCCCTATTTACTGTTGGCAATCCCTAAAATACGAAATACAGTACACAGAAAAGCAATAGAAAAAAATACTGCTTTACCTTTACAACAACATTAGGAATTAAAACTTTCAGTTCGCTGAGAGCAAAATTCAATCTTCTAGAATGCTTACTCCTATTTGGATGAACTGTTATTATTGTCTCACTTTCGACAACTACGTCTGATGGTTTCAGTTTTAACTTGGACGTGCAAATACTACAAAAAAAATAATTAAAAAAATAATCAAAGAATTTTATATTTAATTCACCTATAACGAATAGATTCAGCATTGACTTCTAGTTTAAGTAATTTAATCCTCTCATAGTTTAATTGAATTAATAAAAATGCATCAGTTTTTGTATAAATATCATCAATAAATGTCGAAATCTAAAAATAAATTTGTTAAAATTTTTTCGCTATAAAAACCACTGTTTTGAATCTATCGTGGGTAGGCAAAGGAGTATAAGTCAAAAATTTAGAAGCTGAGTCAATCTATGTTATATGTCTTATAAGTCGACTTATACTTATTTTCCCACCAAAAAAGGTATTTTTGTAATTTATATTATGAAGTCCAAGTTCAATAGCGACACTAAGAGGAAGTATTGACTTATCCCATTTAGATCAATCGGTATAGATGACAAACTAATTTATTCAAAATACTTACGACTACGAAATGATTGTAAGACTTTTAAACCTTGAATTTTTATTTATAAGATGTATTAATGACCTATTGTTTTTTCATAAAGTGTTATCAGGTAAAATAAACTGTAACGATATATTATCGTCGTTGCCATTTCGTGTACCAGCTAAGTTAACACGTAATGTAGTTTTGTTTGAGCTTCCACAGCATAGAACAAACTATGGTTATTTTAACCCCTTATCTAGAATTATGCGCCTTTGTAATATTTATAACTGTGACATAATAGGAACCTGTTACAATAAATTTAAGAGACAACTCTGTTTGTCACGCCCTAGAATCAGTTAGAACTATTGGTTTATTTCAATTGTTTTTTTAATTTAATTTAAATTTGTTTTTGTTTTAATTTAAATTTACCTTTCAATTGTTTTTTTTTTTTTTTTATTTTAGTATATATTGTAAAAGGGTGTATGCCCGTTTAAATAAATAAATAAAATGTTGACTTATACTCCTTTGCACACACACACATACGATAGAAATATTTGCTAACCTCTCCTAAAGTAGTTCTTTCTATTCTTCCTTTAACTTCTCTAGCAAACTGTTGGTCAACACTATTTACCAAACTGGCCCTTATAATGGGCGTACTGATATTTTTACTCGCATTTATAATTTCTTTTATTCTAAAATAGAAAAAGTTATTTTTAATATTAGATCTCCAACGGTATAGTTTAATGCTAACCTGGGAACCCCCTGCGTAATATTCATACTGGCGACACCTGCGAAATGAAAGGTTTTAAGCGTCATCTGCGTACCGGGTTCTCCAATACTTTGGGCAGCCAAAGCTCCTACAGCCGTACCGGGTTCTATTATCGATCTGGTGTATTTTTGTCCGCAAGTTTCCAGAAAAGTTACCAATTGGCTGCATGTGAGTCTTTCTATTTCCTTTACTATTGGACTACTACCGAAAGTGTTGGTGATTTTTTCTACTTTATCAGCAAAGGTGTTGGTGAAGTTTCTATTAAATATTAAAATAAAAAGAATGGATGGATTTATAATTTTAATAAAGTGATTTAAACTTACACGAGTTCATTTCTAAAGTGCTCGCTGCATTCTTCGAGAGCGTTTGTCGCTATAAACGCCTGAGTCGCTCGTCTAATCTGATCACCGTTAAGAGCTACTTCTTGTCTATAAGGACACTTGGCTTTAACGTGCTCTAATACTCTATCGAAATCAACTGGGCAATCTTTACCTAAAAATTACGGAATAATTAACTAAATTGTATGTAAAATAAATTAGAATGCCTCACCTTCCATAAAAGTAGGGTCCAAACCATCGCAACCATAGTTTATTTGAATAATATCACCTTCCGCGTTTCTTACAGAGCCGTCATAATGTAAAACCAAATCTTCTAGAGCCTAAAAATCGAATGTAAAGAAATTAAAATATCTTAATATTACCGACAGGCTTTTTACCTTAACCAATCTCCTTTGCATATAACCAGTTTCGGCAGTTTTCACTGCCGTATCTACTAAACCCTCTCTTCCACCCATGGTGTGAAAGAAAAATTCTGTGGGGGTCAGACCGGTATAAAAACTGTTTTCTACGAAACCTTTTGCCTCTGGAGTTCTCGCTAAAAAATTATTAAAATTTTAGTTTCATCTTATCAAGACCGTTGCTTATAATGAAAAATTATCACTATTTCAGTATTCAGAAAAAGATCATCCGTCTAACCTGACTAATACAGTTATGCTCTATGTGTCAACTTATATTATTGAGCTTTTACGATTTTATTTGTTTAGTGCTAGACTTATTTTTATTAATAAAATGTAAAAAATTGGTAGTAAACGAAGTGGAATGTGATGCATTTAAAAAATTCGTACGTCCATGGTGCTGCTATAGATTCAACTACAATTCCATTAACATCCGGTAACCAGTTATACAGGTTGTTTCCTAACTACAGTACAAAACTTCAGAGGGTGATTCCTTAGTTCGTTTTATGAAAAATAGTTCCTATGAACATATATGTCCGGAGTTGCTTCGTTTTTGAGAAACAGGGTGTTAAAGTTAAAAAAAAATGGGTATTTATAAATATCAAATATCCTTAATCCGATTTGGTTTAAATTTGGTACGGTTATTTGAAATAATAAAGCGCTTTTTAGCCCTAACTAGATTTAAATTATTGAGAAAAAGTACACAACGGACTTTTTAGTAGTTTAATTTTTTTTCAGATTAGACAACTGAAATACAATTTTTGATCTATTGTGTTTTATTCATATCTAGCTTCGTTTTCGAGAAAAAAAAATCACTTTAACTCATTCTAAAAACTATCCATGGACAAAATAAACAAAACAAAATAATCAAAAATAAAATTTCGACTTTGGAGTATTCCTTATGACATTGCAATGGTCAATTATCCGATTCCTCAAGTCTTCACATCTAGTATAGGAGTGTTATAAACAAGAACCTTCAAATGACCCTATAAATAAAAATCTAGAGGATTCATATCAGAACTGCGAAAGTGCGAGCTGGCCAATTTTGAGGTCCTGCACTACCAAAGCCAGCGATTAGAGTAGATGATGTCGAGATGCTGACGAGCAAGAACACTAAAATGAGCTGGAGCGCGTCGTGCATAAACCACAAGTTGACTCTTATATGTAGGGGTACACCTTTTAACAAAATGTAAATGATCCCGGGTAGGATTTTCACCTGTTAATCTTGCTGGTAAAAAATGGGCCATTTAGGTAGTCATCAATAATTCCTACCCAAACTTTTAGCGAAAATTGTTGCTGAAAATGACTTTCTCTAATAACGTATGGATTTTCGTTGGCCCAAAAATTATCATTGTGATAATTTATAATAGCATTTCGTGAAAAATTTGTCCCGTCCGAAAATAAAAGCATTGGCAAAATATTAAAATTGTGTGCCATCCTATGAATCAACCACATTGGGTGAAAATCCCGAGGCAGTAGAGCTTAGACCAGCTATATGTGATATGAGTATAGGAGATTTCTTTTTAGAACTTTCCAAACGGCTTTTCAAGCTGCAGTGCAATCTTCCTGGTACTATTTGAAGGATCTTTTTCTATTGCATGAACTTCTTCTAGTTCAGGCGTTGTTACAGTTTCTGGTCTTCCACCACCTGTATTTTTATTAAAACTCTCAGTTTCACTTAATCTTACATGTGGAGTTCTAAATTTTTTAGTACTTCTACTGCATGTCAGTCATCTCAGAATGAGTAAAATTAATTCATGGTGGAATCACTGCTAATTGACAACTCTGAATTTTAGTGATATGATATTACTATGAGCTGGTCTCCAAAGCAGGTAAGTAGATACTTAATTGGACTTGGCAATAATTTGTTATAAAAAGCAGATGTGGTATGCCAAAAATGTGATAATAAAAGTCAAAAATAGTAAACCTATTGAAACCAATTGTGTTAAGATTTTAACTCAGTTGCCTTCCAAATCGCCCCTGAAATGATTAAGTCAAATCTAATTACTAGCTCGAAATAAAACGACTAAAAAAGTAAGAACCAAGTTTAAGACAAATGGGCGAGATGATTTTTTGATATTAATAAAAACATTTTAATTTCTTTTTTTTTTTTTTTTTTTTCGAAAACGATGCTCAATATGAAGAAAACACTAAAGACTAAAAAGTTGTATATTTAGTTGCTTCATCTGACAAAAAAAATACAAAATTACAATAAGTCAGTGGCGTGTTTTTTTCTGAATAATATTGGCTAATTAGGGCTAAATACGCGTCTTATTACTTCAAGAAACTGTAGCAAATTTCAACCAAACCGGTTTAGGAATACTTTTTTTTAAACTTTAACGCCCTGTATCTCAGAAACAAAGCAACTTCGGACATAGTTCATAGTTACTTTTGTCATAATACGACCTATGAAATAACCCTCTGAAGTTTCGTACCGTAGTTAGGAAACACCCGATAGCATAAAAACTAGTAATTTTGCATTCGTGTAGAGTAGTGACGTTTCATTTATATGAGAGATGTATAACAAATATACAGTGCTTTTCAGATCAAAGTATCCACCTTAAGCAACTTTTAAAGGACTGATTATTACAAAAACAAAAAATAAGTCAATTAATATTCAAAGGGGGAGATATTGTGTCATATTTAGGTTTGCTGAAAAAGTCACCCTTCCACCTCTGTTATCATCCTTTCAATTTTTTTATCCATTTTTGGATTCCTGTCGTTTAACTGATTTCAAAAATGATAAAACATGTGGTTTAAAGTAATTAGTTTCTAATCTAAAGGGTTTCTTTATTTCAGTGACAAATTTTTCTCACCTTACTGACTGCAGCAAATTGGATTTAGAGTACATTATATCTTAATCGTACCGATAAAAACTTGTTGAAGTTTTTTATAATAGCTGGTAAAGGTTTTGGAGATTTGAAAAATGAATAATTTAAATTACTTTTATAGTGTATTTTGATACATGTGCACATTTATTTGTTGGGGTTATTTATTTGATTTCAAAATGGTTTACAGTTTACAAGAAATAATTGAACTTGTAGGTTTATAATACAAAAATAACAGTTCTGCACAAGCTGCAGCTAGAATTTTCAATGAAACACACCAATTCACAAGTATGTAATTGATCTTATGCATAAATTTACATCAGCCGGGTCAGTTGGCAATAAAAAACAATTGACTGTTACTCATAAATAACGAACCAATCGAAGTCACAGTTTTAGGACAAGTTAGTCTTGAAAATCAACAACCACAGCCACTGTCAACAATAAGCAGAGAAGTAGGTGTTTCATCTTTTCGAATATTACACACGCACGAGTACCATCTGTACAAAATTGAATTGGTTCAAGATTTGTACGAAGATGATTTTGATCGTCGTCTTGAATTTTGTGAATTATTGAGTCAGCGCTTGACTGACAATCAACATTTGTTGCCAAAGACATTACAACTAAGAGACCAAATTGTTTACATTTTTATGTGGCAAATCATTATTCCCACCAGATTCTCGTTTATTGCGTCTTTGCCGATTTTATCAGTCTGTCAAAATTATTTGGAGAAATGACTTTCGAAAAATAAAATTTGATGTATCCTGTAAATATAATTTTATATTATATAAATAAAAATATGTTTTTAATCAAATTATTCTTTGAAGTTCTAATATAAGCTAAATTTTTTATTAAAAAATCAATATTAATCTAAACAAAATATTAGGGTTTCGAAGAACTCCGCAAATACCGCAACGCTGAATATCTTATTTTACGAATTTACAATTTTTATGAATGAAATATAGTACCGTAACCAGCCGCAACGTTGCCAATCAGGTCTAACAGCTATTTTGTATTTCTGACAGTATCTGACAGTTTCTGTGTGACTTATTGATTTATTCATTTATAAAATACTATTTTTGTGAACTTTTGTGAGAAATATAAAAAATTATGGCAGATGCATGTGTAGTGTTCAAAAAGGTAGATCATTTAAGTCGAAATGTATGGTTTCATCGGTAAGTATTTTTAGGTTAAGATATGTTGTTTTCATTTGAACCAGTGGAGTAGCGCTTGTACAAGATTTGATACAATTTTTTATAGAATTTAAATTATATAGGATCACATAGTAAATTGTTTGAAAAATAATTATCCAATCTAATTTTACAGACAATTTACTGCAGGTTTGATAATATACAATTTAAATTGTACAAGAAATTGTATCAAAAACTTGTGTAGTCTAAAACAGTCTTAAAACAGTTTTTAAAGTGATATTCCTTTTATAAATTAGTAAATTTTTCTTATACCAATAAATAATTATTGAATAGTGGCAAAGGAAATTTTTATCGTAAAATGTAGAATACCTTAAAAATGATTTACCTATTGAGCACCTATACATATTTTTTATTACTCTATTTAGGTTTCCGCAAGATCCTGAGAAAAAAAAACTTTGGTTTTCTCTAATAGGAATCCTTGAAAATCAGCCCCTTCGTAAAAACCCAGAGTTTTGTTTAGAATACTGTTTTCCTGAAAATGTTTTGGTACGTGCAAATGGTACTAGATATATTAGAAAAGATGCAAACTCCATACGGTGTGAGGGCTTTCTATTTTTGGATGACTTATCCAACAGGTAAAAATATAAAATATTAATTTTTTGTTTACCTCTAAACATTATTTATTACCTATATGTATGTATATCTAATGTATGGGTTTTTAGTTATGATTCAACTATTTTTGGAACACCACCTGCTGCAAAAAGAAACGTTGCAGTAAGTTATAACATTAATAACTAAGCATAAAAAAATTAAATGAAATTTTAGTTAATAAAATTAAAGTATTTTATATATTTAAAACATTATTTTAAAAATTTTTACAGTTTTTTTACGATATTTTTTGCCATACCATGTTTTTTGTAATTATTAATTAAAAAATTATATATTTTTAGGACAGTGTTTTATTTAGATACCCCTACCTACTTAATGTTAATTTAAAATTTTAAATAATTTTGGTTAACATCATACCAGGCAAATATAAAGTAAATGCCAATAAACTATAAACCAATAAATATTAAAAATCGAAAGGTAACTTGAATTCGCTTGTATTTGAATTTACTTGTACTTGAATTTACCTACATGAAAAATCAGTAAGTATCATGCAAAACTATTGTCATATACTCGGCAATTCTCTCACCAGAAATCAAATCACGGCTGGTGAAAGACTGTCTAGAAGACCTGACAGAGCTAAGTAGTTAAAATAAGGTGACCTTAGCCTGGGTTCCAGGCCATGAGGGATATCAGGGCAACGAAAAGGCCGACGAATTAGCCCGAGGAGGCTCAGATAAGGCCATGACAGGCCCCGGACCCTTCTGTGGAGTTGCTAAGGCATTGTGCAAGGCATCCATTAAACAATGGATGCAAACAGAGTCTCAGGAATGGTGGAACAACTATTCAAGAATGAGACAGGCCAAACAGTTCATCAAGGAACCATCGACCAAGTTCACGAAAGACCTACTGGATCAAAAGCATCAAATCGTTAGGATAACAGTAGGCCTTCTTACTGGACACTGTCGCCTCAAAAGGCACATGAGTGTCATAAATCCAGCAGAAGAAGCAACTTTTTGCAGGTTCTGTGAAGAAGAGGAAACAATATTCCACGTCCTGTGCCAATGTGAATGCCTGGCTGGAACGAGGTTTCTAACATTGGGCGAAGAAAAGCCAATTGCATGCAACTACATGCGGGAGCCACTGTCAAAGCTACTAAGACTAATAAAAAAGACCAGGCTAGACGACATACTCTAAAACAAACAGGAGTCCCACAATAGATCTGAAAAGGTCGCGGTGGACAAGGACAAATAACATCCAACTCATAATCTAATCTACCTACATGAAAAAAATCATCATAATTATATTACTAACAAAATATACCTACATATTTACGTATTTTTTTAACATACTACTCTGACAATACTGGTAAGTTTAAAACTCTACACCACTGGCGAGCATATTATGGACACTGTTTACAACGTTGCCAGCCGATCATAAGAGATCTGTCTTTCTCTCTTCCACTCACTAACAATTTTAAAACAATAACAGTCCGCAATTGTATGGGATTTATGAATGAAACATTTTGTCTATATGTTGTAATGTCTTTGTTTGTTGCACAACCTTTGTTTTTTGGATGAATGCACATTTCAGTGAATGGTTTAGTTAATAAACATAATTGCATATATTGGGCTGAGAGTGATCTACATACTGTGCGTAAATATTACACAGAGAATCCTCAAAAGTTAAATGTATGGTGTGGTATCCTAGGTTACCACATAATCGGACCTTAAATGGTGAATCGTATCTAGGGTTATTGAGAGAAGTAATTGATCCACGTATTACAACAATAATAGAAAATTATCATAAATGAAACTTTCCCCGCTCGTTGGATAGGTAGAAGAGGATCGATGATGGAGTGGCCACCTAGATCATCGGATTAAACATCCTTAGACTTCTGTTTTATGGAGTTATTTGAAAACAAAAATGTATGCTACCCAACCACAATCTTTAGAAGATTTACGACAAAGAATAGAGTATGAATGCCGAAATTTAAATATAGACGTGTTCTCAAATGTCAGAGAGGGTTTTCAAACTAGATTACACCATCGTATAATTTTCCATTTTGAACAATTTTTAAAATAAAATTTGTAAATAAAATATTCGTTTTATCACTGGAAAAATGCATAATTCAATTTTATTTTAATTTAAAATTCTGTAGATCATAAACTAATTATTTTAAACCCCATGTTTCATACATTCTTGAAATTGATAAAAAAAATTGGGTAAAGACATTTAAAAACATTGAAGGGATGATAGCAGGGGTGAAAGGCTGCCTTTTTCAGCAAAGCTAAATATGACACAATATCTCCACCTTCGAATATTAATTGACGTATTTTTTTGTAATAATCGCTGTCCTTCAAAAGTTACTTAAGGTGAATACTTTTATCTGAAAAGCACTGCATTTTTAACTATTCACTCAACTTAGCCTAATGACTGTTTTCACCAATAGTATTTGAAAACATGCTAGCTGTACAAATAATTTTAGAAATTTCAGAGGGCAAAATCAGCTAATCCAAACACGAACTAGAATAAGCAAGTCCCGAACAATAGGTATTTCCTTCTACTTCCACCTCACATCCGTAATCTATCAGAAAAAAAGTTTAAACAGCGAATTTGAAATATATCACCTACTTGACACATGTCTACTCGTATATAACATTAACGATTATTTTGTTATCTGTCACCTAATATTTTTATATTTATAATATTCGTAGCATTTTTATTTTTGTTATTGTATTTTACCAGTATTCCATCTAGATGTAACTATTTAAGGGTTTAAATTTAACTATATAACTTTTAAAATAAAGAAAAATTGTTTAAAAACTTACAGTTGTGTTCAAAATGAGGTAATGATCGATAATCAAAACCATTGGGCACTCTTTTACCGTTAAGAGCTTGTTGACCCACACATGCAATCATTTGAGATATATTGATAAAAGAACCTGCAAAAAAACGACAAATTTACAATTTTATGAAAAAAATTAAGCAATTAAATTTGTTTGGTACCTTTCGAGCCCGATAACGCCATGATAAGAGGGCTGTTAGTCGCGTGCAATTCGGCTACACAAGCTTGACCGGCATGCTCTCTTATAACGGAAAGTTCTTTTAAAATTACAGCTTCCAGTGATTCTTCTATAGTGCATCCAGGTTGGGTTTCTAGCTTTCCTTCGGTCATTTGTTTAATGAATTCTAGGCACTTAGCATATCTATGGAAAATACGTAATTTGAATATGAAATTTCGAAAAAGGGATCAACTCCCTAAAAACTTGGTGAAAATATTTTAGTATTGTTATTGTCAAATATGCATTGTTATGTCACTAATAACCGGTTGGTGGATGACAACATTTCGTTATTAAAAAAAAAAAAAGAAAATATGAAATTTAATATTAAGTGAAAACGTACCCTTCACTAAGAAGTTTATTTTTCCTTTTTATTAAATTTTCTCCAGGCGTAACATCACCAATTCCAATGGAAAATCCAGAATTCATCAAGTACGTCGAAGTTAATCTTGCTAAAATAATATTATAAATTAAATCTTGGTATAAAAAAATAAAATAAAAACTAAAAAGTCATCTTGAGTCTCCAATTGCAAGAGTTAATTTTAACTGCTGTTTTAAAACAGTCTACTATTGGCGATACACCCTCTGTATGACATACAGGGTGGGACATTAGTGTGAGGAAGTCCAATATCTCTCTTATCATAAGATATGAGAAAATGTTTTAGATAAAAGTTACTTGAGAGAGAGCTACAGAAATAAAGTTTTAAATAAATAAAAATTAAATTTTAAAACTGAATAGTGTGAAAATGAATCGCAAATTTAAATGCTGTAATAATGAGTTTAAAATTTTTATTTGTGTTGTACCGTATGGTACAACAGTTTTGGGGAAAAATCAGATGCTGAAAACTCTTATAAAAATATTTTTATAATCTTAACAAATACTCATACAATATCTCTTAACTATTCTTATTACTACCTAAATTTCAAACAATCGACAAGGGACTGTTATCTTCGATCTGCCTAAGTTTTCCCCTAATGCGTTGCATCATCCTTTGGACGACCCCAGCGTTGATTTCTCTAATTTTTCCGATATACGACGTCGGAGTTGTTCTTGATTTTGTGCTTCCCATCCGTTATTGTACACTTTCCAGGTCACTATTGCCCAGAAGTCTTAAATTGGGCGTGACTGAGGTAGGTTTGGGAGAATGTCCACTTTCGGTACAAAGTTGATGTTGTTGGGCCCATACCAATCCCTTGTGATTCTCGCATAATGGCATGAAGCAAGATCTGGCCAAAACATAATTTCGTCATTTGCATGATTTGTATTCAAAAATGAAGCAATTTAGAAAGACATCTCTCAATATATCGCTCTGCATTTAAGGCACAAACAACATCAATGCAGGGCTGTGAAATAAAACAAGCCTAAGAAATGGCAATGCGAAATCGTCCATGTGGAAACCATCATTGCCTTTTCGCCGTCCATCACAATCAACTTGTTGACAAAATGCACTCGTCTCAACGCGCGGCAACATCTCAGAATTCTTTCTAACTGAGCCTCTGTGTATTTTGGAGCTTTTCTACTTTTCCGGAAAATAACATTGTTTCTTGTTAGGGTCCTAAACACCGGAGTCTTTCCATTATGAAATCTCCTGGCCAGTTTTCATTGTGAGATTCCAATTCTGGGTTTAACTCCTTGAATGAGTCTCCCCTCTCTTAATTGGTTCAAAACCCGCGGCTGACCGTTTTTTGGCAAGTTTATACATAGTATCCCTTCTTCACAGTCTTTGATTGTATGATAAATTGACGATTGATAAATATCGACAATCTCTCATTTCAACAACTAGATTATAAATACCTCGACGAAGATCAATTTTATAAGACATTTTGGTAAGCGTAAACTAAAAATTATTGCATTGCTTATTTAGATGACATGACTGGTGACATTTAATTTCCATGACCTGCTTGATTAAATGCATTTTGTCATTCAATCAAACCAGGTGAATTTTTTCCCAAAACTTTTGGACCATACGTTATGTTTTATTTATGAAGACTAGAGAGAAGGAGGCGAATCGGCAATGGTCAAATTTCAAATTTCCGTCCTTCTTTTTATAAAATTCGCGAAATTGACTGTAGTTGGTATGTCGCACAGTAACGCTGTCAATTTTCTATGTAAGTCAATGTAAAATGAAGTAGTTTTTTTTTTAAATTGGTGAAAAGAATCAAAATAATGTGAAAAAAAGTACCTGAGTACAAGTAACATGAGTGACAAAAACTATCAAAGCAAGATTTACTTCGTTCCAGATTGTAAAACGGGATACAAATCAGATGTAAAACTAAAGAAAACACAAGGAGAAATCAATTCAATGTCTTTTTAAAGCTTCTAATGTAAGTAAAATAATGTATTTGTCTAAATATAATATTTATTGTAAATTAGTCACAACACGTATCACGGAGTGTAGTTTATTTTATTACAAGTTTCTATAAAATAACATTTTACAGTCATAGATCCTGACTTACAAACAACAATAATTATACATTAAATTTAACTTATTAGAAAAGAAAATTTGTTTTTTTATAGAGATTTAATGTTAGATAAAGAGTTGCTACTGTTATTTTTTTGTTGAACCCCAATTTTGTTATTCTAAATGCTTTTTTATAGGATCCTAAACGCTTAGAACAGTAGTAAAATATATATCGTTTCTAGGGCCGATAAAGCACTTTCTAGAGATGAAGCTGTTCTATCCGTTTTAGAAGATATTACCAAATATTATGAGACTATTTTTAGTGATGGTACTGTTAGCAAAATAAAAAGTGGAAAGCTGAAATTAAAGGATGAGGTAATACCATGTACATTCCTAAATCTCCATTTATACTTGTATTACAATAAAAAATCTGTTAACTCTGTTATACTCTTAAAACTCTATATTGGTTCAATTCAAAAAAAAAATGTTTTCACAAAATTGTACTTATCAAATTTCAGCATTTAAGAAACCTTTTCGAATTTTATATACACTACATACCTACACTTTTTAGAATATATTTCCAAATATTATGAAAGTCTTTTTACTGATGGTAGGGTTAGCAAAAAAGTGGCAATATCATATACATTCCCAAATTTCCCTTTATGATTGTATTATCAACAATAAAAAATATGTTTTATTTTGTTTTTAATTACTATATTTAGGTATAATTCAAAAAAATTTGACACAAAATTGTACGTACCAAATTTCACCATTTAACAAATATTTTCTAATTGGGCCATATCTACCTAAATTGCATTTTATATAAATAAAATTAAATAATTTATCAATTAAAACATGCGAGACTTATTTAGAAATAAATACAACAGTATATTCTGGCAATAAACAAGTTTATTTTCATTATTTTGACAAATTTAGAAGCCCTGTATTTTGAACCGCGTTACTTACGGTGAATTAGCTCAATTAGCATTCGTTTTTTGGGACCATATTTCGTGTATGCCGATTCGCCTTCTTATCTCTAGTCTTCATACTTTTAATGTATATCATAACAGCTGTTAAGAAAGAGAAAATAAAAATACTACTAAATTGGGAGGTAATAAGATTGGAATGTCAAAAATATATATAATAGAAGAGGAAAAAGTGGAAACACTTATCGAAGAAATTAATAAACTTAAGAAGACAGTAGAAGATAAAGAAGTATACATTAGACGTCTAAAACGGGGCACTCAAAATTACGAAGACATGGTTATTGAGGTAGAAACTACGCTTTTACAAAAACTGGATGATAAGGAAAAAATTATTAAAAAAATAAATACAGAACTATTGCAATCAAAAAACTTCATTAAATGATATCATTTCTGATAAGGAAGAACATGAAGCAAAATTAAATAAAGACGCAGAGGAATTAAATATTTTAAGTAAAGACATCTTCCTCCATGGTAACAACCACCATAATTTTAGAAAATGAAAACAAAATGGGCATTGACAATTTGAAGAATAAGTGTAGAGAAATAAGAAACCTTCAAGGAAACAATGCAAAATTAGAAAATGTACGGTTCCCGTGGAATAGAATTGTTTTTGTTTTTCATAGAGCAAGGGATCAGAGATGATTTTTTTGCATAGTGGTAATGAAACATGAAAATTTGAAATACGGCTTTGAGCATAAATAAATAATGACGTGTTTCAGGGTTTTTGGATTTTCATATTTTAAGGGGGGAAAGGAGGACTTGAAAATGTGTATGAAAGTATCGATTTTTTTAAAGGTAGGTACTTGAAAATTGGAATTATACCTCCTCATCACAAATAAATAAAGGCGTGTTTCAGGGTTTTGAATTTTTATATTTTAAGATATGAAAGGGGGAAAGAAAGGAAAGGGAAAAAGGGGGGTGAAAGTTTGTATGAGGGTATTGATTTTTTAAAGGTAGGAACTTGAAAATTGGAATTTAGCTACTTATAAATAAATAGAGGTGAAAGTTCTTATGAGACTTTCGGTTTTTTAAAGGTAGGAACTTGAAAATTAGAATTGCATAAGTAAATAATTACGTATTTCAAGGTTTTTAGGATTTTACATTTTAAGAAAGGGGGAATGGAGAGTATCGTAAAAATAAATAAATAAAAATAAATAAAAATAAACAAAAATAAATAAAAATAAACAAAAATAAATGAAAATTATTAATAATTTAAATATCTACGGGTTATGGATAATACAAATTTATAATTATTAAAGGAACATGCTAATAACGTCATCAAAAGCTATTTTTGTATAAAATAACAAAAAAGTATTTTTCCGTTTGATAAATGTTCTATCACAAGATTTTTGCTATTATAACAATTTTTATTACAAATAAGCTTACCTAATCTCCACATAGCCTTAATGGCGTAATCTTTTCCAAAATCTCTCAAGATAACATAAAAAATGTTTCCACCTTTTCCTCCACTACCTAGATGGCCCTTATCGAATGTACCAGCAATCAGTTCGGAATTTCTAATTATTACATAAGAATCTTTTACACACATTTCCCTATTTTTAGTGTAAGCTTTACCCTTGGCTTCTAGGTTGGCCTTAACGATAGATTTTTTATTCGGTCTAAATATCAGGCTGCAAATTTGTTTGCCGGACCACAGAGGAATGGGCTGAAAGTATAACATCATTAATAAATTCCAGATTTTCTGTTTCAGGAACTAATATGGCGATTTGGAAAGTCAAATTAATGTATAATTATTATTAATTTTTTATCAATAATCAATCACCAATCATCAATCAACAATTTACGATCTACGATAATTATCAATTGTACTTAAAGCACTTAGGTTACATAAAAAATGGCATTCTAAGCACTATATCTTAAATAATAGTTATTTGTATTCCAATTAGAATTACCTTAATTATACAAGGCGTAGGCAAATCAATGTGTATATGAGTGTCATTTCCAGCTAGAAGAGTGGCTGCTAATTGCGAGGCATGGGTGAAATCCAAAAATGTATCCTTTTTTGTTAACAAATAAGCCCCAGTTAAGAAATCTTGCGTCGCGGCAATAAGCAGTTCCCCATTTCTCGGTGTAACCAAATTACTTTTGTTCTAAAAATTATTTTCTTTTATAGTGAAGCAAACTGTGATTGAGTAAAATTTAACAAATTTTTACCCCCATTAGAATAAGTGCTTCCGCTTTCGCCTCTTCCGTCTGAGGCAAATGTAAATTCATTTCGTCACCATCAAAGTCAGCATTGTAAGGGTTGCAAACGCATTCGTTGAATCTAAATGTTCGGTGGTTATGTATTTTGGCTCTGTGCGCCATGATAGACAATTTGTGCAGGCTGGGTTGACGATTGAATAGAACGACATCGTTGTCATGTAAATGACGTTCTACTATATCCCCTAACTAAAAACAACATATAAAAAGTTTGTATGGGACTATCGATTTTTTTTTTGTTCTCTTTGAAGTTAGAAACATGAAAATTTAAATTGCAGCTACTGACTACAAATTATTAATGACGTGTTTCAGAATTTTTGGTGAAAATTTATTTAGGGGTATCCATGTTTTTGGTTTGCTTTAAAGTTAGAAACATGAAAATTGGAATTGCAGCTACTGCGTACAATATAATAATGACGTGTTTTAGGGTTTTATATTTTTACATATTAAGGAGGGCAAACGGGGGGTGAAAGTTTGTATGGGAGAGTATATATTTTTTTGTTCTCTTTGAAGTTGGAAACATGAAAATTGGAATTGCAGCTAATGAGTACAAATTAATAATGACGAGTTTTAGGGTTTTTGAATTTTCACATTTTAAGGGGGAGAAACGGGGGGGTTACAGTTTATTTAGAAATATCGTTGTTTTTTAAAGGTGGGAACTTAAAAATTGGAATTGTAGGTTCTCATCATAAATAAATAATGAAGTGTTTCAGGGTTTTTGCATTTTAATATTTTAAGGGGGGAAAGGGGAGGACAAAATTTGTTTAATAGTATGTATATATTTTTTTATTTAAAGTTTGAAACATAAAAATTTGAATTACAGCTACTGATTAAAAATCAAAAATTTAGTGTTTCATGGTTTTTGGATTTTCACGTTTTAAGGGAAGAAAACGGGGGTGAAAATTTGTATAAAAGTATACATTTTTTGAACGTTGGATATTGAAAATTATAATTATAGCATAAATAAATAATGAGGTGCTCTGTGGTTTTTAGATTTTTGTATGGTAGTATCAAAAAATAAACTAAAATTAGGAAAAAAAAAAATTATTAAAAATTAATAAATATTATTAAAAATTATTAAAAATTAACAAAAATTTAAAAAAATTAATAAAAATTAATAAAAATTAATAAAAATTATTAAAAATTATTAAAAATTAATAAACATGAATAAAAATTATTAAAAATGAATAAAAGTTAATAAAATTAATAAAACATATTAATAATTAGTAAAAATGAATAAAAATTAATAAAAATGAATAAAAATGAATAAAGGTTTAAGTGTAAAGGTTAAAGAAAAGGTCCTTTATTTCTCACAAGTCAATTTATTGGCGACCGGTTTCGAAGTTGTCACTTCATCATCAGGCACACCTTGACTAATTCCATAAAGGAAGCGCTACAAAAAGTTTAACAGAACGAGTTAAAAAAGTCATGTGTAATAAGTATTTTTTAAAAAAATTTTAATGTAGGTTAGGTTAAACCACCAGATGTCTTTTTGAATAAAATAATTAATTAAAACACATTTAAGACAATTATTAACTAAACAACACAAAATAGTTTTACAAGCACAAACAGTTTAAAAATTTTTAAGGAAATAATGTTAATTACTGAAAGTAAAAAGTAGTCACTTTTTTACTTTTTACTTTCAGTAATTAACATTATTTCCTTAAAAATTTTTAAACTGTTTGTGCTTGTAAAACTATTTTGTGTTGTTTAGTTAATAATTGTCTTAAATGTGTTTTAATTAATTATTTTATTCAAAAAGACATCTGGTGGTTTAACCTAACCTACATTAAAATTTTTTAAAAAAATACTTATTACACATGACTTTTTTAACTCGTTCTGTTAAACTTTTTGTAGCGCTTCCTTTATGGAATTAGTCAAGGTGTGCCTGATGATGAAGTGACAACTTCGAAACCGGTCGCCAATAAATTGACTTGTGAGAAATAAAGGACCTTTTCTTTAACCTTTACACTTAATCCCTACTACTCACATATGGCTACCCTCACTCCAAAAAAAAAATGAATAAAACTAATAAAAACTAATAAAAATTAATAAAAAAGGAAGTAATGTATTTTTTTATATTAATTACAGCACTACATGCGAGCAAAGTCGCGAGCAAAGCCGCGGGCAACAGCTAGTGTATTAAAAAGTACTATAATGTATTATAATGTATAACATACTGCTGTACATTAATAAAATATTGTCAGGTCAAAAAAATACCTTAAAGTATTATTTCACTGTCAGAATATCTGCAATATTATATTTTCATTTTACCTATGATGGCATTTAATAATACACATAATTTTTTATGATCTGACTAGAGCTTTAGATGCAATATGTCACCAACTATTAATAAAATCAGAAAATATATCTAATAAATCAAGAATTTGGTGTCATATCAAGCTCAATCTTAGAATCATAATTTTTCATGATATTCAAAAATTATCAACAAAATGTAATATTTCTAATAAAATAATCATTTATTATTTCATTATGAAGAATATAAATTTAAAATATTGTTTTATATAGTAAGACAATGATGTACAAAAATTAAATATTTACATAGAAATTGTTAAACTTTCAAAGCTGAGCTGCAAAAATACATTTTACTGGGAGGAAAAGTTTCTTGAAGCTACTTTTTAGTTTGATTTAATATACTTTTAAAATATTTTTTTTTTCAAGATTTATAATTTCATATTTAAAAATATTTTATCTTTTGCTTGGTATGATAAATTTATGTATTTTTTTTATGTGAATAATTCAAAGACAAATAAAATACTACAGAGTTTAGTCTCATACTGACCTTTAAAGCCTGAGCCAGCTTTTCTCTATTACCATATTTTAAAAATTTCTTAAATATTGAGCCTTTCTGTTGGACATAATTTGCTCCTGGCCAAATGGAAGGTCCATTTATAACCAACTTTCTCATAACGTCAATATTGGCTTGTATAACCCTTTCAGGAAAGGTCAATATCTTGGCAATATGTTTGGGAACACCAACCTGGTCTATTTCTAGATTAGGATCTGGAGATATTACAGTTCTAGAAGAAAAATCAACTCTCTTTCCAGAAAGATTACCCCTAAAGCGGCCCTGTTTACCTTTTAGCCTTTGGACTAAACCTCTACCTGGTTTTTTTGGCTAGAAATAAAATATGGGTTGTAATTTATTAATAAATCCCAGAAATGAGAGCGAAAATGTAATCCATCAAAAGCCATATTTTTTATTACACTCTTACCATCATTGCTAGTGGAACCCCTGATAGTTCACTGTTAATGTACAGGGCAGACTGGAGTTGCAAAAAATCCCAACCTTCTTGATACATATTTACAGATGCCCCAGATTGCTTGTGCTTCTTTATTACATCATTTATAAAAATTATTTCAGATTGCTTCATTGTTAAATCATCTTCATTGCTAAAATAGAAATATTTAGAACTAGGGAAAATCATTTTTATCTACATAACTTACGTTCCAGCCTTAAGGTCTGACACAACCGAAGGTCTAATACTCACAGGCGGTACTAATAATCTTGTAAAAATCAAGTCTTTTGGTTGAGACCTAGTAACATTTTATTAATGATTTATCTTATTAAATTGATTAAAAAAATAAGGATTTACCTTTTTGGATCCATTGCTAATAGGATGATATCATTTTCAGGGATCCTTTCAAACAGTTTGATAACATCTATAGGAGTTAAGATTTCAGAAATAGGACTTCCAGTTAAAGCAGATTTTATATCAGGATTGCTCTCAATGGCAATAGAATACTCTTTAATCTGATCGTCTAATAAAACCTTTTTATCTTTTTCTCTATTTCTTTCATGAACTATTTTTAATACCGAATTTCCAGTATTACCCTTAGCAGTCATTTTTTTAACAAATCCATTTTTTTCCTTACAATTAGGACATTTTGTGTTTTTCTTACATTTATCAACGAGTTTTTTTCTGATAGCTTTTTTGGTCATATAACTCAGATGTGGATTTGATAGTCTTATCCTGTATTGGTGTTTATCACCTTCATCAAGAAGAACATAAGCACATTTTTTACAAATTGATTGCAAAATGCTAATAATACTTCTGAAATAACCAACATGAAAGACAGGCAATTCTAAATCAATGTATCCAAAATGTCCTACGCATTCATTAATATTTTTTCCACAAGTTTGGCAAGGGGTATCTTTTGAATTGGTACCCTAAACATTTAATGAAAAAAAACAATGTTAAATATTTTTTTTCAAATGTTAAATTAAATATCCTTACCAGTCTTTTATCTAACACACCATAAGGTACGGGCGTACGTTGAACATCTTGATTATATAAATTTTTTGCAACAACATGAAGATGGGACTGTTGTTGCATACTTTCGGCACTTTCGACACCGAAACTAACATGCGAGCTAGAAAATCGGTTTTAAAGTAACATTAATTTATTAATTCAAAAGTTTTACTTACATTTTTCTCGCCACATCGGTTTCACGATACTGTTCTTTAGGCATTTTTGAACACTTGTTTTAGGCTTAAGAACACTGTATTTATTATAACGAATAAATGAATTTTATATCTAAATATCGCAATAAATATATAGCATACTAAATCAAAATATATTAAACATGGTTTTCGGTTTTCGCATAGAAAAATAAAAAGGGTTTTCGTATTTTCTCTATTTCAAAATTAACCTATTTTAGCCACAGAACATTTTGCATTCCATCGACCTGTCAAAATGCTGACAAGTGGGAACTGACAGTAGAGATATGACATGTGACAACACTGTGGGCATGTTGTCAATTGACAGGGTCAATGATACGTACATAGTTATATAGATTGTTCAAAGCGGGTCGTTTGCAAGTGGCCATATTGCCTCTCAAGTGCTCATTAAACAGAATCAGTTTAGTAAAAATGTGTTTACAAATCAATTTTCAGCCTTTGAATATAGTAAAAAAAATAATTACCTATATTTTTTACTTTGAGGCATAAGCTTATGTCCAATTTGAAAAACATGGATGATCAATCTATATAAATATCTAACATTGACCCTGTCAAATCACCAGACCTACAGGGTTGCCATTTCATAACCTGTCATAACCCACTGGCAGACATTTTAGCTTCTTTTTTTAACTTCAATAGGCCTATTATCACTTTTTTTAATATAAATCGTAGATTACACTTCTTCTTTTTCATATGATTTATCGGATTATTTTCCATACTTTCCATAAAATACATTTATTAATATAAAACATAAAACATCTAAAATTATTGAAAATAACATTTATGTTTGAATCCATTATTTTAAAAATGTCTTAAGGCTGTATGTCACGATACTGAATTAAGTACTAAATTTAGAACTAAATTAATGCATTTTTTAAGTACTAAAAAAATTCACGTTGCAAACAGCAAATTTAGTACTAAATTTAGTACTAAAAAAATTTAGTTCTAAATTTAGTACTTAATTTAGTATCGTGACATACAGCCTTTATTCATATTTGTAATAAAAATGCACTGAAAATTTAGTGTGAAAATGTAATGAACGAGTCTGCTTCTATAGGCCCGTATCAGAGACCAAACAGAACTTACGTGAGTCGGACTCACAAAGCACATAGAGGTTCCACGTGAATGACCAAGGTCAAAACCGACAACTGACATTTTTTATGCTATTTGCTCCAAACTCTAGATGGGGCTACTGGTGAAATTATGATTTCTTACTCCATTTTTAAGCCTTATGGGAGAAAAAGTTAACCAAAGACTCCAAAGATGTGACGTGTATTTATTTATGTTCTTGGTTAGTTTCATTTTTCCGTCTGATTTTAGTGATTTTTTGTTGCTTTGGCTTTTGGTTTCTGTTTATAGTTTCGTCTTAGTTATTTGCAAAATTGTGATGTTTCGCTTTTTTATTTCCTACTGTGATTTGCAATAATTTTGGTGCTACGTTGAAAACTTCGAGAAAAACTTCATTGATTCACCATATATTCACCATGCATCTGCATCATAAAAAGACAAACGGGGACAACAACTAATTGATAATCAATTTATCACTGGACTAGATTCCGAAATCATTTTTCACATAAGAGAGTAATACCACCATCTGTATTTGGAAGGAAAATACCTATTTATCATTGAATGAATAGTTAAAAGAATTCACCTTTTAATACAATACCTATATTACATTTGTCCTCAGTTAAAAAGACATTTATAAAATATATACCTTTAGTGTTAATAAAATGTAATATCCTAGTCTCTACTTCACATTTAAATTATTGATAGGTATTTTAAAGATTTGAGATTATATATCTATTTGCTCCAAGTAAGTATTCGTTAAATATGTATTATTATTTGTATTTATTTTTATCTAATAATATTTATTTAAGTTATTAATAAACATATTTTAAGAATGTTCTATTTTATTATTTATTGATATATCTTATATTTATTTAATAAAAATATGCAGAACCAACTCTCCACATTAGACCCCTTATAACAAATTAATTCTTCAAATTTGGTATAATCGACCTAAATTATTTTGTAAAATAAAAGTTTCGAACTTACTAGTTCCATACTTTATTTTATAAAATAATTTATGTGGAAATCATTTAAAATTTAATTTAAAACTACTACCTACTCCTAAAAATTACAATTTGAATTTACCGCCATCTGTCAATTGTCATTTTAGTTCCAGCTCCAAACACAAGGTGGCGCTAATTTGGTTAAAAAGTTTAACATTGGCGTGGGGTCTCTAGAAGATACATGCTTTGTGGTCGGACTTGGGTAAGTCGTCCTTGAACGAAAATCGAAGTTCGGTTATATCGCGTTAATTTAGAGATGGGTAGTAACAAATCCGTAAATGTCCATAACAGTTACAGATTTGCTAATATCCATCTCTAAATTCTAGTTTAACACCAGAACCACCTAGAACTTCAGAGACGTTCTAACCGAACTTCGATTTTAGTTCAAGGACGACTTACCCAAGTCCGACTCACGTAAGTTCTGTTTATAAATACGGGCCTAAAAGAGCTGTCTTGGGCTTCCAACATTTTAGGTATTTTCCTTTGCATCGAAAGTGTAGCACTGGGCTACACCAATTCTGAAAATATCGTTCCATATATACAAATTGTATGGATGGAACGATATTTTCAGAAGTGACGTAGCTCAGTGCTAGATACACTTTCGATGCAAAGGAAAAGACCACGGGGGTCGGATTCCGTGTAAATAGTTGGTAACAAGTTTGCTTGACCTCGACAGTAGCGCGCTAAGCGCTTACGGTTGAACTACACCTGTCAGTTTCAGTCGATAAAGTAGAACACTACTAATTGAAGCGGTTTAAAAATTGGCGGGCTTGATAATTTAGATATTTGAAGCAATTTAAAGTAGCATTTTTCTATTTGACAACTTTTACTTACAACTACTAAACAAACAATAAGTTTAGTGAATTTTTGTTGTAGGTAAATGTTGAAAAATGGAAAATGTCACTTGTTTTAACTGAAAAATAAAATTAGTTGAAAAATAAAACACATTTTTAACAAGTTTAATTTATTTAGAATTACCATGTAATTACATGTGTCTCATTATCTTCTAACTGCATATTTTGAACATAACAAGCACTATATCACACACTAAATTACTGAAAAATAAAAATATAATATGATAACCAGCATAGCACATGACAATGTTTTTATTATTAAAAAAACCGGATATAGTATTTATAAAAAGTCAAAGTAGTTAATTTATAAACACAATTGTTTTAATGTTTTAAATATCCCTTATTAATCCAAGGACAAATCATTCTAATTCTAATATTCTTATACTTATTGTCCCTTTAAGGCTTTTTCCATCTATTTCAATCTAGAATAGTTGTAATGCCTATTTCGGTTACAATAAGCCTCCAGCTTCAATACAGGTGGGCTTTGAAACTGACCCTAATTAAGAAACACATTTATGCACATTCCAAAAATCTCCATAACGGGGAATATCTAAAACAAAACAAAAATAAAGGTGCAGTGTGTATCTTAAAATTAAAAATAAACACGAGTCATAACCTTTTTAATTTAAAATCTTACATTTTTCTTGCAATAAAAGGTATTAAAATTTCAATAATAATAGAAAACATCTGATTTATGATCTTAATAGGTGAACTATGCAAAAATTAACAAGTTGACCTAAATAGCATATAAGTTTTTGAACATATTTGGGTATTATTTGATAAATATAATAATGAATATCACCCAAAAATTGAACAATAACTTTTTGAGCACAAATCATTCGCCTTTTTTCATCATGGTCTTTATGAGTAAAACTAAGATCAGGTTCTATCTCAGGTTCTACAATATTTGTTTGTAAATTGGCTTCACACATTTAGCTCACAACTCCTTTCATTTTTTTGACCGCAAATGTTTAAAATGTGGATCTCTAGAGTAATAATAGCAGGAAAAACAAACTTTCTTGTTAGTTTTGTGAGAAAAATACTTAGGTACTTCTGCAATTAAAATTTAAATGAATCAGAAGTTAATGATTTTCTTAAGAACCTGCCTATAGTTAAATTAGTTAAATCTAACTTACACTTAATTAATACAATTTACTCACCTACATTTGAAAAAAATATCACCTGCATTTGAAAATGAAAATAATATCAGGCTGACATATTTATAGCAACATAACCTAATTTATTTTCAAAGCCAGATTTACACCACCTAATAAATTTAAAGTTAATTTAAATTTAGCTTTAACTTTAAATTTATTAACGATTATCTCTGTATTTAATCACACATTATAGCAAAGTGAAATTTAAAGGGGTAAATCAGTAAAATTATTGATTTCTTTGTCATTATTTTTGAAAACATATTTTTTTATGGGTGTAAAACGGGTTTGAATTTAGTGATAGCAGCGCGCTAAGCGCTTACGGTTCAACTACCAACAAGGAAACAAATCCCGCCATTTAATCAAACCTTCTCTTTTTATTTTTCTATGGAAAAGACCTTTTAAGTTATAGAAAAATTGACGGACACAGTGACAAGTGAAAACCACGTCTTGTATGTCATATTTGTGTTTACAATTTTTATATATGAATTTTAATATTCTTGGTTGGGAGTTTTGAAGAATGAATTATTTTTGATAAAACTTAAATTTAGCCATGGTAATGGAATCAAAGACCACAAGCAAAACTAGTTGCTTGAAAGCCTTATTATTACGTGCTTGGCGAGAAAGATGGTCAGATCTCCAATGGGGAATTAACATAAAAACAGTTTTACCTCGGGGAGTAAGTGGAGATGTATACAATTTAGCAGATTGTATCCTTCAACAGGCCGTTGTAGGTGCAGGAGCCAATCAATTGGTTCTTAGCTATTTGCGACACTCTTTAAGTGCTCAGTTGGTTTCCCATGCAGCTGTGCTCCAGAGATTGAGCAAATATAGTCAGCTGAGTAAGATTCACTGCGTTTACAGTCTTTTAGAGTTTCTAGAAGGAATGCTGCCTGGGATTACAGTTAGTTGTGGTAAACCGGAAGAAACTGTACTAGCTACGGCGGTTTTATCTGTAGCACTTTGGTTATTAAACATACTGCAACATTGCCATGCTAGCACGAAGATTACACAAAAGACTTCAGAGTTGTTGAAGGTGCTGCTTACTGATGATTTTTATATATCTATGATGTGTCTTGCTAAATACAATGATCCAGGTACTAATATTTTTTTGCATATTATTATAATTCAGCCTTTACATCAAATTTTTTTTGTCATGTGTGAGATTTGTCAAAAAATATTAATTTTATGAAAGAGTAAAATATCTTTAACAATATGGAAAATTCTTATTAAAAAAAGTTGATCAGAATTAAAAGCTATGGTCAGATATCCATTTCTTGTATTTTATAAATTCTAATTAGTATTTTAACCTATACTATCAAAAATTTGTCAGTGCGTCCTAGATTAAATATAGATTTAATTTAATTTTATGTCTTGAAAATCAACACTGTTTCAAAATTGTCACATATGTACAAGCAAATTAACGTCCACATTTAATAATTCATTACAATTCTTGATAAAGAAAAATATCGGATTTGATATACAAAAAATGAAAATAACTTTCCTGTTAAAATTTGCAACTCTAAGCTAAAAATTAAACAAAATAAGACATAAATACAGCATCGTGAAGCAGCAGCAACCTCTCCACCTTCATATTTTTTTGCCATTGTTAACTATATACCTACCATAATATAGAAGGTGTGCGGAAATTATGACCAAAAAATTTAACAGTTAATTCTACTCGAAAAAAGATTAAAGTTCAATAGCGTTTTTTTTTTGAAAACTCAAAAATAGCGAAATAACAGGGTGTCAATAAAATATGTTTTTATGATTTTTTCTTGATATCTCTTTTCTAGTTTGCCAATTAACTTTAAATTTGGTACGCTTATTAATAATATTGTTTAGTAGTTTGGACCGAATTTGACATAAATACCTTAATGCCAAAATGTCTTAGCAGCCCATGACCTTGAAGAATATGTCCTAAAAATTTTTGCTTAATTTTTTTTTATAAATTTTGGAAACTTACAAGTCAAGACCATTAAAAAAGCTTTAAAACATACCTTCTTGTTCTACTACTATAAAATGAACCATTTCTAAAAAAATCACCAGTTAACATTTGCTTGCAATGAACTAATTCCGATTAATTTTAGCTTATTTTTATTTATCAAAGCATGTTCTGGAGGTTTCTTGAAACAAATAATTTATACAATAAATTATGACAGATAATTCTTTAACAAGTTTTTTTGTGAAGTTGCAGTGTTAAGTTATTGTGATAATATGAATAATAATTATTATATTTTTATAATAACATCGAATTACATGACATGCATTATTACTATGGAGTCGCTGGCGGAAATGCAATAGCAGCAAGACGTTTGTATAATGAATCATTTCTGAATTGAAGGATACCACAGTCGTAATTGTTTAGTACTCTCCATCAAAGACTTTGCGAGTTTGGAGCATTTAAATCTAAACTTTACAATATATGTCGTCAAAGAAATACCAGAACTCCTGCAGCAGAAATTCGTATTCTGAATTCAATTGAAAATAATCCTAAAATAAGTGTATGCTTAATTGCTGCTCAAGAAAATATTCCAAAGGCCTCAGTACACGAAATTTTAAAAGAACAAATTCTTCATCTTTATCATCTTTATACCCTCTGTTCTACTACTATAAAACAAACAGTTTCTAAGAAAATCGCTGTTTAATAAATGAATGCCACATTTTCAATTTAAATTATTATTATCTAAGGGTACCCTGAAACTGATTAAAGTTAAAAAAAAGTTAAGGTGAAATTAATTTTGACAAATATTTTTTGTCCTTTTTTTAGTTTTGTAGTACCTACCTACTTGTAAAAATTATGTATTTCATAATAGGTTATTTAATATGCAATAAGTTTACAAAATGTAGAGAAATGAACAAATATTTCTCTAACTCAAATGCACATATCTTAATTACATTACTAGGCAAACCATAACCTGAACTAGATTTATATTTTAACTTCTTAAATAGTCTTAAAGTTTCGTCAATGGTGATCGATATTAGAAAAAAAAAAGGTTTTATTCAATGCAATTTTGCAATTGAAGTCAACATGCGGTAATTTTTTTAAAATATTTGGTGCTGCATTACGAATATACTCATTAAAGTTATTAGCTATTGTGTGATAATTTTAGATCATTATTGGCTCTATTTGTTCCTTTAATTTCATTAACAATTTGCCACAGACATTTTGGCTTATTGTCGCTCTGTTGAATTCTATTTCCGTATTGTAGTTTGAATTTATTAATAATTGAGTATAAGAGTATATTCTTCTGGTAATATCTTTTAGTTAGAGCTTCTTTAATCTCACATTTCTTTGTTTTTATTTTATTGTTTGGTACCATATTTACAGCTGAAAAAATGCAAAATATAATATTAGATTGTTTAGCCTCAAAGATTTTTATTACATTACAAAAATAAAAGTTTGTTCATGGGCATGGGACTGGCGAAAAATATCATAATATTAAGGTAAAATCATATGCACAGTTTTAGAAATAATTTAAAACCACTAACCTCTATTTCAAGATGCACTCGCAATTATAACTTAAATTCAAAGAAGTTTCTTGTATATTATTTAAAATAAAGGTTTCTTCTAAATTTGTTGCCTTTATTTAAAATCTCAAAATATGAAGATGTAGGCTACCAGTTTAACATTTTGGAAAAATGTGTTGCCTAACCTAGTAGTAATTGCATCAAAATGGCCGCGCCCTATGTTGGGCGTGTCGGACGTCTCTTGCACCGTATAGTAATCAAAGTATGTGTTTACAGTTGATTTAATTTTACACAATCCATTTCTGTCATTTTCCACTAATGTATTTTTCACATAACATAAATTATTAACCAGTGGTGAATGGGAAGAGTAGCCATTGCCATTTATTGGATTTATTTTTAAACTTGTAAGTTTAAAATTTATAAAAAAAAACTTTAAGCAAAAAAGTTTCAGGACATTTTCTTAAGGTCATGGGCTGCTAAGACATTTTGGCATTGAGGGATATATGTCAAATTTGGTCCAAAACTACAAAACATTACTAATAAGTGTACCAAATTTAAAGTTAATTGGCAAACAAAACAAAAATAAAATGAATTTTGTACTTTTCATCAAATATCTTTAATATTGTTCTATTTTAGGGAAATAATGTATATAACAAAAATTATAAATAATGATATCACAAAAAAAATTATACGAAAAATTTTCTTATCCAGTTATAAATTATCAAATAATCAGCTATTCAGGGGCCCTTTGAAACTATTTTCCAGATCTCATTGAAATCAGCCGGATAGTTTGAGCTCTATCATGCTAACAAAAACGACGTTTCTTAAAACACATTGTTTTTGGGTTCCTAGGACCGCAAAACGTAAATATCTGGTGTTATATTGTATTAAAATTTTGGAGTGATTGCAATAACCTCATTTTTATGGGTTGGTGGGGAGGTTAAATAAATATCTATGGTTTTGGCTTTACAAGCTTAATGGGAACATTTTTACACAGCCAGTTATATAAAATTTTTGGGGTTTCCAATCTGCCATTTTTTACATAATTCCTGCCTCTTCTCAGTTTACAAGCATTATTGCCTTTTTTCCATTACAATGATTTAAAGCAGACTTTTTAAATTGATAATTTTTACTTTCCAATCTTTGTACCTCTTTTAATCCAAGGCTCTTTTTTTATTTTCTTCATTAGAACTCAATTTTCTTTTTTTTACGTTTTCCTCGTTCGACACTGTCATAAGACGAAGATGATGACGACGATAATTTATTGTAATTGGAACTGACTGTTTCAACCACGATCGACGTAAATTTAGCTTCATTTTCGGAAAAGCTGTCGCTACTATACTAAGGAACAAGTCATATAGTCGGCTTGACTAATACCACTCTCTTCACTGTTATGAATTTCTTGAGATTGTATAAACTAGTGAACTAGCAGCACTACTGTTACCAAATTCGTCAAAATTTTGTTTTTCTTCAACAACGAAGTTAAATAATATTCCGGTATCTAATGCTTCATCAATTAAGTTATCAGTAGTAATACTATAAGTACTTCAAAATAATCAGGTTATACATCGATAACTTATATAAAGAGTGTCAGTTTGACAGTTTAAATAATCCGACCGCGAAGCGGGAGGATTATTCTGTCAAACTGACACGATTTGTAATTATGCAGGAAGTTTCAGATGTATAACCGCATTTATTTTGAAGTACGTATTGTATTTGATACGATTATTTTTTGAGTAAATTAAGTAAATATCAACAATTTATTAATTTAAATACATATTGGTACAATGAAAATTACAATTATTAATTATTGATAAACGTCAAAATTTGACGGTCCTGTTAGTTAGTGTATTGTTGTCGATGTGGTTACTACGGAAATGAAATTATTGTAAATATTTTTGATTGGTGGAGCTACTCTATGTATAATCAGGTATTATCGAAATTATACGAGGTAACTTAACTAAATTGAACGTTCTAATGGTTAAAAGTTATACGAAAAAATAATCATAATTATATAGTTTACTTTTCTACTTTCTCACAATGACATACTTAAAAAAAAACATTTTCCGCGATTGAATCGGAAACAAAATATTATGCATTAGTGTCACACTTGAAATGAGTTTGTTTAAAATTAGAATTACTATATTTTAATAATTGGTGTTTTAAGCATTAAAAATGATTTACTACAACTCATATTTTCGCGTCATAAGGTCTTAAAAATGATGTCATAAATACAGAAAAATGTCTTATAAATTCCTATTAAGACTAGTGCCAGTCTTTTTGTTTTCAAAACCCTTTCGTAAAGTCACATATTTTTTACTTAGCGTAAAACAAGAGATATGTCCACTACTCAAACAATTTTATCTAGAAAATGGCAACGGAATAATAGAAATGAGCCAAAAAACTACTATTGTACCTGTTTTATCCAAAATTTAGAACTGATAGCTACAAAAGCGCTACGAAGTTCCCAGCGGTTTGATTTGCCGATATACTCACTTCAAAAGTTTTAAAAATACGAGTTCTGCATTACGTATCTTAATCCGTCACCGGCAAATCGACTGTGCGCTCTCGATACCCTATCTCTATATTATTATGTCACATGATATTGAATGTTAAAATACTTAAATAATTTTTAGAACTCTTTACGGAGACAAGTAGAAAATTCGTTGAATTGGAATCAATAATAAAAGAACCCGATGAAACTATTCAAACTATAAGAAAATTATCAAATATTGATGTTAGCGTTCTACAGTTACCAGTTAAATGCGATAACTGGCCTGGTTCCCTTATCCAGTGCTGGTTAGAAGTGAAACTTACTGGAAATCCGGGAACATCAACAACAATTCTATCACAACAACTTCAAATATTTAAAAAATTAAAAGGGTTTACTAATGCTAGACTTTATGCCGAATTGATGAGAGGAAGTCTGATGTCTTTGTACAATGTTAGTCAGACCTCCCACGAGAGTCAGTGGGGTGCATTTGCATTTATTAAAGTTCCTCACATTCTACTAGAACTAGGCGGAAATACTGATACGTCAAGCATAGTTTCGGCCTTAGAACTTATGCTTCAGCATAGCCCTTTACTTGACGCTATGGATGCAAACAGTTCCTGCTCTAGTTTTGAGTGTCTTTTGAATGAGTTGTCTAAAAACAAGTTACTCGTTGAACCTCAAGTTAAAATGTTCTTGGAAAAGAGAAAGACTCCTCCCAACTTGAAAATGGAATCAGGACCAGGAAATAACATGCCTACATACTGGCATATTTGCGCCGAGTCTACTTTGACGGGAATTTTAAAAACTCTCTCTTCGGATTATCAGAAAATTCAGGTATACAAACCTAAAAAAAGAATCAATGATCTATGTACAAAATTTAATTTCTTTTTTTAGGATGCTTTATTAAAAATGCTTCACCAAGTCTTAGCAGGCAAAAGCTTCGAACTAATTCTTGCAGTTGCAACTGTGCAAGACAAACTTGGCACTCTAGTAAATAGACTGATTAAATTTAATGAATGTTCGAAATCTGCCGGCGAGGCCAAATCTCAGTTGTTTGATATCACATTCGTGATGTTGGTAACGATCGTTCAAAATTACGGTACCACAGCTCTTCTGGATTGCGATGGAGACTCTCTTTTTGAACAGTGGGTTAAGTCTTGCATGATTGAGAGACAGAAGCCTAAGGCACCAGATCAGATTCTGAGATTAGGTAAGTTTCAAATTAAAAAGTTTTCCTTTTAATCTTTAGCCTTGTGCCTGTTAAAGTTTAAGGATGGTCAAGTAATGTATTCTTGTAAATTGCTTCTATCATAAGTACGCCAAATGCGAATTAAAAAAAAAATAGTTCACCTCCAACAAACATTTTCGTTTGTCCACGCTTCAAAAAAAGTGGATTTTGACTTACAACTTCCTAAATCTGATATTTCATACCATTGATTGGATAATTAATGTTCTTTTTCTGCAACCATTTTATCTTTTGTCCAACTATAACATCGAATTGGTTCCACATACCGCAAATGATAACTGGCTATGGGGTCTATTCTGTAACAATTCCTTTATATTTAACGGCCTTTAAAAATATTTTCTTCTTTACTTCTGTCATTATTTAAACGGATCTTTAAAATACATTAGAGGACTATCTTAAAGAAATCTATTTAAATAATGACAGAAGTAAATTAACGAATACAAACATATTTTTAAAGGTCGCCAATATTTTTAAAGGCCGTTAAATATAAAGGAATTATTACAGAATAGACCCCATTATCGATTATAATCAAATGATGTTTCAGACTAGGTATAAATTTCGTCTTAAATAATTTTTTCAAAATTTTCTGTGTTAATAATATTATGGTAATCCACGCATTTGTTTGACTTTTAAATATGAGGTCTGCATTTTTTATAAACCCTTCTTCATTGTCACCATGGACAATTATGTATCGAATTCCATCTCCTGTTTTTTTACTTGCAGTAGCCAACGTTCCATCTTGCCAACTTTTTCTGTCACTTCCCTTGCTATATACCCACGTCTCATTCATAAATACAAGCTTAAAGTTACCCATCTCTATCTCCTTGTTAAAATTTTTCAAAAACAACATTTTTTTTTAAATGAATCAATGTTTGTTCCAATAAAAACTGTCTTTTGTTACTTCTTTTAAAGCGAAAGCCAATTTTTCGAATCCATGTATTAATTGACCATGCAGAACATTTCACATTAGGCATTTCTTCCGTTTATGTAACTATTTCATTATTACATGATGCACAACTTCGTACATCTTATATATAACTTACGTCAACTTACTTTAATATTAAGAATTGATTTTTGTTTTACTTTGGATTACTTTTTTAGACATTGTTTTCACATAATCTGTATCAGAATTTGTTGGTTTACTAAGTCTATAGATAATTTTCTGCGAAATATTTAATCTCTCTGCAGCCATTTGATTGTACCTCTTTCCAAAAGCCTCGCAAACAGATTTGTGTCTCTTAGGAAACTACGTTTAGGATTAAAGTTTTTGATTGATCACTAAATCGTTTCACCATTTTGTTGAATACTTATAAAACTTTTGAAATATCAAAATATACAAGTTTTTAACAAATTGACAAATTCAAAATTAATTTGATAACTGCCACCTGACATAATAACATGATGTACAGAGATAAGGGAAATAAAGATAGGAAACGCTCATAAGAAGCCAATGCTTAACAACGACCAGCTTTAACGTAGTTAACATCTGACCCACTATGTGGCGCTTTCATCGATATCAAACAACGCAGCGGGATATTTAAAAACCTGGTAAAAGTTTTATAAATATCGACTGCACTCTCATGTTCCTGTAAATAATATTAAACAATGTAATTACGCTAAATTATTTATTAAAAAGAATACTATACTTACAGTCTATTATCGATTAATTATTGTAAATCTATTCATGACAAATATTTTTTAATTTTTGATCGTTATTTGTAACATTATATTTTTGTTTTTATTTTCCAAACGAATGGCCAATGGTGTCTCATTTAAAAATGTCGAATGGGAATTCAGACATATTTCTTCCTATATCAAATCTTCTTTCTAACGTTTTGAAGCCATTTTCTTGTTCTAAAACAATAATACATAAATACCTACTTAGGCTGGTTACTATTTGTGTTACTTACGCCCGTATGCACAGTACACGTTTAATCCAGATCAAGGGTTTAATCGTGTTTAGTACAATTTTTAGCTATGGTACTAAACGCGATTGAACTCTTGATCTGGATTAAACGTGTACGGTGCATACGGGCGTTACATGACCAGATCTTACATTGGTTAATTAAAAAACGCCACATTGGGGTTGTTAAATTTATTCATGTGGCATGAGATACTAATGCAATACGTTCTCAGACTTATTGTAATATTACAAATTATAATTATTGTCTTCAAATTTCACACAAAAACAGCCACAACCAGTTCGCTAGAGGATAAAACAATCATGAACTCAAAATTTAAATTCAGGATTCTTTGATATACATAAAACTAACTGACATTTATGTTCACAAACTGTCCACTGCTGTCCACGTCTACTGTCTGTCTCAATTTAAATCGTATTTATACGATTTTTTAACTCTGTACGATGAACGATTGCATCAGTGAGATCGTACGTAAAAATACGATCTTCACTTTTTTAGTAGGTTTATTTAAATATCTGCAACAACTTCAGAACATTAAACAATAAAAATCAAAAACTACTTGCATAGATTCCTAGGCCGTTCCTAATTTCTGAAGGCAGTAATTTTCATTCTCACTTATCGAAATTTTGACCATGGTGATTTTGTACCAACACGGACTATCACGGCTTAAGAAAAGCTTGCATGCAAAATTTCAAAATCACTTTCAAGTGACATTCATTGATTACTTTAAATGTGTTAATTTAAAGTTTCGTGTATTTTCTTTAGTTGTTTTTTTTTTCGTTGTAAACATTTTTATAAATAGATAAATAAATTATCATGCCAAAGTTTTTTTTTTTGTTTTTCATTACATTTAAGTTATATTATGCTATACATGTACCAATTGTACGATTTTTTTTTCGAAATACCATTTTTTTACTCTACTTGTAAGATCTCTCAAAAAATCTTTGGCAACATTGGTCTGTTTACAATAGGCCTTTTCATCATGTGATGAGCGCAAGCGCAGCCACTATGGTGAAATAGCGGTAAATCAAAAGTTTCGTACTGTTTTGATCGACAATGGTTGGGAAAGCAATATTATCCCTACAGACAAATCAATTATTAGAAAAATCGTTGATGGTGATTTACATTTTTATAACTCTATGAAAGCACATAGTTGTGAGAAGCTGAAAAGATTGTTGAAGTGTCTTAGACGTTTGCTACAAAGGAAAAAGTGGACTAATTGAGAGGTTAGGTGTATCAATACTTCTTAATTCTTAACTATATAAAAAATTAATGAAAACAAATAATCTATTCTAATTAATTATGCCAACCAACTATTAGGACTTGCAAAAACACTTTAATTAACATGAAAGTTAATCACGAGCATAATTAATAAAATCATTATTTAATATTTTGAGGACCAACATGACATTTTTAGTCATATTGCTGTGTATACCGAAGTAGTATTTAATATTAAAAAAATATTGTGTAATACCAGATAAGAATTTTCTTCTGTTGGACCACACCTAATGCACATTTTGCGTATTTTGAACATGTTTTAATATGTATTTTACCTGATAATTTGATAATTTTTTACGTTATTGAAGCCAAGGCTTTGGAAAATTTATATTATACATTGCCTTTGAATGATACTCCATAACAACACCGTTTCGTTGTTCCTTTCCGTACAGATAACATGATTATTATAATTGATTGCAAAAATGTATTTTCCTACGACCACTTAGGAAAGTGACACATATCACACTATATAGACCTATGGAAAGTGCCCTATATCACACGCGTATGAATAAGAATTTACTTTCCACCCAAGTGAGAATATGCTACTTTCCGCAGTAGCTGTCAGAAAATGTCAAACACATAATTTCTATTTTGATCTATGTAATGTCCATATTAATACTAAAATCGATATGATTGTTAAATTATTGTAAATTAGATCCTAGATATTTATCTTTAACAATTATTTTTAAAATAATTTTAAAATAACTAAGATATATTTGCTTTTTATTCTGGTTAAACACATAAGCGATTAGATCAATCAATTACCGTAAGGCCTGTTAGCTCAGTTGGTTAGAGCATCAACTTTGCAATTTGAGACCGTCCAACGACCGCGATCGAATCCTGGCTGTGCCAGAATTTTTTTTTTATTTTTTTTTTATTTTTTTTTATTTGTTTAGAAATTATGAAAATTTAATAAATACGATTATTGTTGATTATTTTTTTAAATACATTTTAATTATAATAATCTGGTTTTACATTTTTTGATGAAATTATTTTGTGGTCGTAGGAAAAATATTGTACATCACTTGTGTGAAAAGTGATTTTCCACACTCGTGTGATAGTCGCACTCGGCTTACGCCTCGTGCGACAATATTTTCCACTCGTGTGAAAAATGTCACTTTCCACACTCGTAATGTAATATACTATTTTCAATAAGGATACTAAACTTAATATTACTTTGCATTTTCTTCATTTTTTTAAATGAATATACTTATAATTAATATTTATCAGTTATAATTTTTTTTCACGTGGGCATTTTAACATGATTGTTTACAAAAACAGTACGAAAAAGATGGCTGATACTGATGCATGCGCACAAAAAAATTTTGTGATGAAAAGGCTTATCGACTGTACCTTTAGTTAACATCTGAGACGCATAGATGACGCCATAGTTGCTGCGGTCATTGCGTTTCCTATCTTTATGTCCCTAATCTCTGATGATGTAATTAATCTACGACGTGCCAAAATCTAGTAACTTTTTGTTTCATTCATTTTACATTTAAACAACGAAAGCGAAATAACTTTCCGAGACTGTCTGATCTTTTCAATTTGTCAAACGCCTTATAGAAATTAAAGCTTGTGTGAATCTTCTATTGTTGCACCTTAATGTTTAATATTGAGGGTTTTAATTGATTTAAAGGTGATCCTACCATCATTCAATCTCTTCTTGAACAATTCAATTCCGGAGAATCAGACTTCAAACCTGGCGTAAAATGGCAAGACGTTTTGTTTAACATTCCCGGTGTTATGCACGAGGTCCTAGTAGCCTGGGAACAAGGAGCCTTAGTTCCTCAAGATGTGAAGCGTATTCTCGACGCAGTCAGAGGGAAAATGTGTTGTTTACCAATAGCGGCTGCTGCTTGGCTGTGCGCTTACATGAGGACTGCTCCCCAAGAGACACTACTGAAGCCGATAAATATGGTTTGTGCGACTGATATTTTTTTGTTGTTTGTTTTTTGTACTCTGAGAAACTCCTTTAAAGGTGCAACAACTTCTCAATACTCCTGTTTCTGAAGAAGATACTTTGAATGACCGATGGCAATTGACGTGTGAGATCATCAGAAAGATGCAGAGAGATGTGCAGTTACCTTTGCCTACTAAAAGTGGACATCATTTGGTTTCTAGGCAACCGGCTACTGAACAATTAGGTCAGGCGTGGAAATCTGGTAAGTGTTAATGAATCAAAAATTGACATATTGGTTTCTATTAATATTTTTGCTTAGGTATAGTAAGAGGATGGTTGGACCACAATTCTGCAAGAACTCTTCATTGTCTTCTGGATACTGCCGGTAACAGATGGCTAGTGTCTGCAGTCATCCAAGAATTAGTTAAATTGAGATACAGGGACCAGCTCCAAAGAGGCATCGATTTAGCTCTTGCTATGTTTCATGTCGATATTGTTGGTTGTACACTACAGTTATTATCGCATGTATTACCTCAATTGCTGTACAATGACATTCAAGCTGATGCGTTGATGGAACCCCAACTGCCGGCGTTGGCCTATTTGACAAGTTATTGCGTGTTCACGGCCTGGGATGCATTGTCAGAGGTATGTTTCGCAGAATATAAATTATTCGAACAGAAATTAATTGTTAAAAACGTCACATAGCGACAATTATGACAATTGACAATACCATTTGACATTGTTTGTAACTTTTAAGAGTTAAAAATGTAATTTAATATATAATTATTTTCAGGACGTAGACACCGAACCTCCAGCCAAAATGAGCCGTCTGGATAAAGAAGAAGAACCGAAATCTCTAGAACAACTTCTAACCTCACTTCGGCAGCTTCTGCATATGTTTGAGGGAGTCATTCAAGAAGGTTCGATAACGCAGCAAACTTATTTCGCGTTTTATCTTATCAAGTCCCTGGTCGAAGTCAAAGTGCCGTCAGCTAGCTCAGTGTTGGCGGCCGTTCCGCCGTCTTTGATTTCTGATTTATTGAAGACCATGCCAGAATTGTTTAGTTACCCTCTTCTTTTGCATATCCATGACGTTTTTAGTTCTTCTGGTAGGATAAATATGGCGAAGGATTTGTGTATTTTAAGGAATTATTATCTCAAGAACCCTCAGAATGTGATTGCGCGGTAATTTTTTGTTGTGAGGATTGGAGTATGGTGTTATTTGGGTAATGGTCTTCCCGAGAAGAGATCTACGTTGTGCTTTATTTATAACTAAATGTTATGAGGGGAAAATTAGAAAATGTCATCTTTTCTTTGATATTTTTCTGTTATAAAAACATTGATTGTCATTTGATTCTTTCCAGAGGTAGATAAAAAGAATTGTGCACACTAAATAGGTATATTAACGTATCTGTAAATGTGCTGTAGGTCTACTAAATCATTTTTATTACTATTTAAAAAAATATTTATTACTATGTAATTTTTTATATTAAAAATTGTAATATAGTCTAAGTAAATGTTTGTTTTATTTATTATATAAATAGTGGGTGATACTGTCACCATGCCTCCAGCAATCTCAAATTTAAACTGCCATGAAAATACATGTTATGACTGGTATATAATGTAAACTTTTGAATTGGAAACCATGCATCTTAGACGCCACTTATGGAAACAATCCGCCGATTAAATGGGCGAGCAAACAAATTCAGGCACTGCTCATTTTTCCGGAAATCGATGAAACGTGAGTCGAACTGTGTTTTCATATCTTCAAGCGCAGAAATATATTTGTCCATATTTGTTATCTGGCAAGATGACAAATGAGGAAAATGTGTGGTAACATTTTTTTTTGAACTGATTAATCCACAGGTCCAGCTTTACTTGAAACGCTTTCAAGGAGTCAAATAACTCATGGATTAAATTTTCTTTTCCTTGAAGTTTCTTATTCAAATCATTTAGATGTGATGTAATATCTGTAAGAAAACCCAAATCACTCAGCCATGCTTCATTGGTAAAATGAGGAACAGCTTTATCTTTGCTTTCCATGAAAGCTGCAATTTCCTTCCTCAGATCAAATACCCGTTTTAACATTTTGCCTCTACTAAGCCAGCGAACATCACAAAAATAAATAACGTCACCATATTCAGCATTCGTTTCTTTTAAAAACTCTTGGAATTGTCTGTGATTAAGGCCCCGAGATTTGATAAAATTAACTGTTTTCACCACAATACTCATAACATCTTGAATATTGACAGTCTTTGCAAATAAATTTTGTTGATGAATGATGCAATGGTATTGGAGGAAGGAGATGCCAGGATTGTTTTTTCTTATTAATGCAATAAGTCCTTCATTTTTGCCAACCATAGCCGGTGCGCCGTCTGTGGATATCCCAGCCAAATTTGTTAACTTCAGATTATATCTATTTAAGACGGTATTAAACGCTTCATATAAATCACATCCTCTTGTGCTGCCTTTCATTGGAACTAAGGCAGCCATTTCTTCAGTAACAGAAAAATTTCTGTCAATGCCGCGTATAAACACTGCTAACTGAGCGGTATCTGTTAGGTCTGTACTTTCATCAAGTAACGGAGTAGTAAACAAAATGCGACGATCTTTCAATTAATGTTTTTTCAATATCGCCTGCCAATTCTTCTACCCTCCTTGCAACTGTAACACCAGACAGACTTACTTTGGAAAAAAGTTGCTTTTGCGAGGGACATAACACGTCTGCTGCTGCCTCCATACATTCTTTTATGAATTCACCATCAGTAAATGATTTTGATTTATGTGCAATTTTCTCTGAAATTATGTAGCTTACTTTTACACTTGCTTCACTATCTTCGTTCTGTTTGTGAAACGAATGCTGCTGTCGTTGAAGTTGTTTTTTCAGAACCTCGACCTTATCAAGACGTAACTGTCCTTGAAAATATGCAAATTTACTTGAATGTTTGGAATCATAATGCCGTTTAATATTATATTCCTTCATCACAGAGACCGACTCATTGCATACAAGGCAAACCGGTTTTTCTCCAACACAAACAAACAAATATAAATTTGTCCATTTTTCTTGGAATGACCGGTGCTCATCTGTCACCTTGCGTTTTCTACTTGTACTTGCTGCCATCACACTCGTTTGATGTCGTCTTCGAACCACAAAGTCAATAAATCAAAACACTTTTGTTACAGTAAAAAATTAAAAAACACACAGATACTTCAGTAGGGGCAGCGAATAATTATACAAAGGGTGTGTCGTTCACAAACACGGGCCGGCAAGACGACTGTCTCGAGATTGTCGAAACTTTTCCTCGCGGTGGACCGGGGAGCGTCATAACAGTACACGTGTGAGTTGTGTGCAGGTTCAGCGTTCGAATTATACCGACTGGAATAAATACTACGCTCCAGTCGGGTCGGGTTTGTAAAAATGTCCAATTTATAATATGTGTTATTAACGTAATCCTTTTAACTGCCTTTTATTAAGAGATTAAAGGCAAAATTAGGTACAATCTAAGAAAAAATTAAGAAGTTTATCCTTTGCAACTGTTGTTTATTAAGGGATCAAAATTGAAACTACCTTTCTTAGAAAAAAATAAGAATATTTTCCTTTTAAACGTAGTCAGTCTATTAAGGGATTAAAGTAGAATGCAGGTAAGAGAAAATGAAGAATTTTTAACTGCAATTTAAAATAATTGATAAAAGAAAATCACGTTTGGTATTTTTGATTGTTGATTATTTTTAAATAGCTCAACTTGGACTGATATCCCCCAAGCTTTTGCTGGGCCGCCAAAAAAGCTTTAGCGGGCCGCAGGCGGCCCGCGGGCCGCGTGTTGAAGTCCTATGTACTTAGTGTATTCCCGTGTTCGTTATGGGTGAGATTACAGAACGTCTGCAACTTTGCAGATCTGCAAATATGGCGGCAACTTTGAAAATCTGCAAATATGACTGACTTACACATGCAAGTATCAAGTTTTCGTATTCCAAATTTGGGTTTATTGTTGTTGGGGTAATAAACCACAATAAATATTGCGAATTTGCAGATATTTTTTGGAATACTTACATTTGTAAGTCCGCCATATTTGCAAAGTTGTAGATGCAAAGTTGCAGACGTTCTGTAATCTCACCCTGAATCCGCAAGTGGTTATGTTTAGGGCTGGGCGATTATCAAAATAAATAATCGATTACCTGTTATTTAAAATAATCGACTCATTTAAATAATCTATTAATCGAAATAATCGATTATTTCGCCCACTCCTAAGGATGACACATCATGATGGAGAATTCGGCAATAAGACTATTCCTTGCGTTACTTTTGATTTTAGCGCCCTCTAGGTTGGTAAAAAAACTATTACGTATTGCAACGCGTGTGACATTTTATTTGAAAGCTGATTTTATTACTAATTCAATGAAATACCTAACATTAATCTAAAAATCTCCATATTGCACTTAAAACAAAATAAAGTTAACAATAATGCAAACAATGACTAATTTTCAGACTTTTGCAGGTGCAATATGAAAATATTTAGCTTTCAAATGAAGTGTTACACTACAATTTTGTATCTTCTTTTTATAGTCTTGTTGTCGAATTCTTCATCAAATTGTTTAATTTATTTATAGTTTATTTATTTAAAACACTTTTTTATAACTTATTTATAACGTATTAGTTAATTTATATAATGCTGAGGCACTATTACAACTCGAAATTCTAATTTTTTTATTACAATTTGTCTAAACTATCCAACACTTAATTTAAAACTTATCTTCTATCGACAAAATCGCGGCTATTTATATAAAAATGTAACGCTCTCGAAAGAACTAACTCTGACTAGAAGCTCAGTCTGGAAGTTCTAGAAATAATTATCCTACACGCGTAAGACTGCGATGGAAAACATTCGAATTGGTTTCACGAGTTTCGAGATGGTCTCAATGTGGCCAGCGCCAGACTTCCTGTAGCGGGTATGGTAATAAACAAAGAACAGGGTTGGTTTCGCATCATATTACTTTTTCAATGATGTTTTGAGTGGCCCACTCTGTATAATCAATTATTGCCTTAAATAAAATACAGTGTGGGGAAAAAGTTCGTAACAGAATTTCTCAAAAAAATTTATTCCTGATAAAAGTTTCTGTAAAAAAAAAGAAATTGGCAATGTCCAGTTTTGGATTAAATATACAGGACCACAAAAAAGTACAAGTCTTAAAATATTTTTTTAAAATATCAATATTAGATTTAAAGAGTGGTAATAAAAAAATAATATTATTATTTATACCTATACTGACAATATAATCCATTAGGCAACCTTTTGAATGTCGATTATTCGATTGATAATTAAAATTTCGATTAATCGATTATCGATAAAAAAAAAATAAAATAGTCAACAAATTTTTCGAGACTTTCGCTGCCGTATGAAATGTTTGGGAAGACCTACTTCTTACTCTTGATTTAAAACTTACTCAGGCAGATAAAAGTTCAAAAGATTCATATACAATACGAGTTTCAAGGCAAGTATATAAAAAAGGGAATATGTGGGTGTCATAATCTAGACGCATTGTTTTGTTTTCCTTATTTATTTAGCTACCGATATTATAAAAAGTACGGTTACTATAATGACAACTAAAACAACAAAAGTAATACTACCTACTGGATCACATAAAGTGCTTTGATAAGTTCTGATAAATTTTATATACCTTCAGTGACTTTCAAAAGTAGCCCCCCCGTAGACTATTAGGCCACAATCCGCCACTGCTTTTTATATACGTATTAGATTAGTGAAAAATATGTTAGAAAAAGGAAAATAAAAAAAAAATAAGAAACGTGGAGTCGAGTTTTAATTCCTGAAGCCCAGTCCTGGATTTGTCAATAGGCCGCGGACTAGGGGCGGAAGCGTCCTAGGGGCGGCAGATTTCAGAGGACGCTCACTCGATTTCAGAGGATAAAGGTCAAATAAGTTCACTGGTTTTCTCATGGTTTTTTATACTAATTCTTTAAATCCCTATAGAAACTCATTCCTATCGAACATTATCAATCCTACTGTTATTGTACCTATTTTATCTATATTACGTCGATTTGGTTCAAGAATGTATGTGCATTTCCCAGTCATATTTCCTCTAATAAAACTGCAGAGTGTGCAGTGAAGCCTGGATCAAACTCACTACTCAGTCTCTCAACGTTTTCAGTGAAGACAAACTCAAAACTAAGCACAATAGAATACAAATAATATATCATAAAAGGTTTAATAAAATTAAAATAGCTACAAAAATCAGTAGTATGATCTATTGTTGGAGCTAAATTTGAATAACATTGCGAACCTTTCTTTAAAAAATTAGGAATATTTTCTCCTTATCGACACCCTCAACGAACAATGACTTATATCACTTTTGTCAAATTCTCAGTAGAGCGTAAAATGTAAAATATAAAATATTGACTTTCTTACAAAATAAGGAGTTTATTTTTATTGCTAATGACATCTTAATAGTTTCTTATTTAGACATAGTTACATCCACCAAAAAATACGTTGACCAATAATAATGTCGTATTTCAAATTAAAAATGTTTGATCATCATTTACTGCATAAAACTAGCACATACTCGTACTTATAGAATTATAAGTAAATTGGAACTGTAGCTATTCATTCATCATAAGTAAATAATGACGTATTTCAAGGTTTTTCACGTTTTCATTTTAAGGAGTGGGTAGTATCGTAAAAATAATAAATAGCTCTAAATAAATAAAAATAATCATTCAAAATTAAATATTTTTTATATTTATATTAATTTTTATTAATTTTTATTAATTATTATTAATTTTTATTAATTTTTATTAATTTTTATTAATTTTTATTAATTTTTATTAATTTTTATTAATTTTTATTAATTTTTATTAATTTTTATTAATTTTTATTAATTTTTATTAATTTTTATTAATTTTTATTAATTTTTATTAATTTTTATTAATTTTTATTAATTTTTATTAATTTTTATTAATTTTTATTAATTTTTATTAATTTTTATTAATTTTTATTAATTTTTATTAATTTTTATTAATTTTTATTAATTTTTATTAATTTTTATTAATTTTTATTAATTTTTATTAATTTTTATTAATTTTTATTAATTTTTATTAATTTTTATTAATTTTTATTAATTTTTATTAATTTTTATTAATTTTTATTAATTTTTATTAATTTTTATTAATTTTTATTAATTTTTATTAATTTTTATTAATTTTTATTAATTTTTATTAATTTTTATTAATTTTTATTAATTTTTATTAATTTTTATTAATTTTTATTAATTTTTATTAATTTTTATTAATTTTTATTAATTTTTATTAATTTTTATTAATTTTTATTAATTTTTATTAATTTTTATTAATTTTTATTAATTTTTATTAATTTTTATTAATTTTTATTAATTTTTATTAATTTTTATTAATTTTTATTAATTTTTATTAATTTTTATTAATTTTTATTAATTTTTATTAATTTTTATTAATTTTTATTAATTTTTATTAATTTTTATTAATTTTTATTAATTTTTATTAATTTTTATTAATTTTTATTAATTTTTATTAATTTTTATTAATTTTTATTAATTTTTATTAATTTTTATTAATTTTTATTAATTTTTATTAATTTTTATTAATTTTTATTAATTTTTATTAATTTTTATTAATTTTTATTAATTTTTATTAATTTTTATTAATTTTTATTAATTTTTATTAATTTTTATTAATTTTTATTAATTTTTATTAATTTTTATTAATTTTTATTAATATTTATTAATTTTTATTAATTTTTATTAATTTTTATTAATTTTTATTAATTTTTATTAATTTTTATTAATTTTTATTAATTTTTATTAATTTTTATTAATTTTTATTAATTTTTATTAATTTTTATTAATTTTTATTAATTTTTATTAATTTTTATTAATTTTTATTAATTTTTATTAATTTTTATTAATTTTTATTAATTTTTATTAATTTTTATTAATTTTTATTAATTTTTATTAATTTTTATTAATTTTTTATTAATTTTTATTAATTTTTATTAATTTTTATTAATTTTTATTAATTTTTATTAATTTTTATTAATTTTTATTAATTTTTATTAATTTTTATTAATTTTTATTAATTTTTATTAATTTTTATTAATTTTTATTAATTTTTATTAATTTTTATTAATTTTTATTAATTTTTATTAATTTTTATTAATTTTTATTAATTTTTATTAATTTTTATTAATTTTTATTAATTTTTATTAATTTTTATTAATTTTTATTAATTTTTATTAATTTTTATTAATTTTTATTAATTTTTATTAATTTTTATTAATTTTTATTAATTTTTATTAATTTTTATTAATTTTTATTAATTTTTATTAATTTTTATTAATTTTTTATTAATTTTTATTAATTTTTATTAATTTTTATTAATTTTTATTAATTTTTATTAATTTTTATAATTTTTATTAATTTTTATTAATTTTTATTAATTTTTATTAATTTTTATTAATTTTTATTAATTTTTATTAATTTTATTAATTTTTATTAATTTTTATTAATTTTTATTAATTTTATTAATTTTTATTAATTTTTATTAATTTTTATTAATTTTTATTAATTTTTATTAATTTTTATTAATTTTTATTAATTTTTATTAATTTTTATTAATTTTTATTAATTTTTATTAATTTTATTAATTTTTATTAATTTTTATTAATTTTTATTAATTTTTATTAATTTTTATTAATTTTTATTAATTTTTATTAATTTTTATTAATTTTTATTAATTTTTTTAATTTTTATTAATTTTTATTAATTTTTATTAATTTTATTAATTTTTATTAATTTTTATTAATTTTTATTAATTTTTATTAATTTTTATTAATTTTTATTAATTTTTATTAATTTTTATTAATTTTTATTAATTTTTATTAATTTTTATTAATTTTTATTAATTTTTATTAATTTTTATTAATTTTTATTAATTTTTATTAATTTTTATTAATTTTTATTAATTTTTATTAATTTTTATTAATTTTTATTAATTTTTATTAATTTTATTAATTTTTATTAATTTTTATTAATTTTTAATAATTTTTGTAATTTTTATTAATTTTTATTAATTCAATAACATTACAAAATAAACTAACTATTTAAAGTAAATAAGGGTACTTAGGTAATTATAATATCAATCAGATAACAATAAGATAGCACATTACCGGGATTATCTCACAGAAAACTAGGAAAGAGATTTAATAAGGGTGAATTATTAATATCTAATTGATCATTTAGTAAGTTATCTGAATTTTTAAATCTATTTATTTCAAGTGTTTCTAAATGGTTTAATTTAAGGCTCTTATTTTCTATATGTAAAATTTCAAAGTTGTCTGTAAAAGAATGATTTTCAGCTAAAATATGATTTGAGTAAGAAGAATTATTTTTGTGTTTTGTATAGCTATTATAATGTTCGGAATAGCGTTTTTGAAAGTACGGCCTGTTTGACCAATATACAATTTTGGACAACTACCACAATTTAATTTATATACCCCCGATTTATTATTAGGATTAATTTTACCCTTATTTTACCCTACTTTGTACTTTGTTTTGTTAAATTATTTCGTATATATATTGGATACCGAATTGTAAATTAGTCACATTTGAAAAAGAAGTTGTACTTCGAAACATATGTCATGTGTTTTTAATTTTTTTTATATTTTTTAAATAAAAGTGTGAAAATCTACCAAATTTGGTTTTGCTCTTTCAAGATTAAATTCATCAAGTAAAGGCCGAAACAATAAATACTGTTTTATCTGCTAAAATTTTTAAATACCGATTTATTTTCTTTGCTTAATGAGGCCCGTGCACCTGGTGTAATTCAGTTTCCTTTTCTTGCGTCTATGTTTAAGAGGAATCTCACAACTAATTTCCTCAAAATGGATAGGGCAATTTCAATTAAGTTTGTCCTTTCTTCGATAAGAATTTACCCATATTTTGTGGCATTCGGAAATATCTCCACTGCGCAGCCCGGCATTTTAAACATTAATTTAGTTCTTCCTGTTATATATAGGAAAATATAGTCACTACTAACACAAAAACATATAAATCATTAAGTTATTTTACACTACTAATTGAAATCATGTCAAAATGTCTTGAAAGTTCGTCCCGCATTACGTCATGCGCGGTTTGGACGAATTTTGAATCGAAAGTCAGCATACCTTTAGTATGTGTATCCTGCACTGGATGTCCGAATACGGATATGGACGTTCTGGCTCTCAAATGGATCTAAAGTGGACGTCCATTGGACTTTGTGTGTTGTCTGGGCAGTAAGCGCATCTGTATAAAACAGAAACGTCGAAACAAAGAATTATTGAAGATAGTGCAATTCTGAGGACGTCTCTGCTGTATATCCTCAAGAATTCTTCAACAGTTATATTTAATGGCAAGTGGCCTGTTTATTTGGGCGGGACACATGTAAGATTTCGGTGAGGAATATAATTTCTCATTCCCAATTTAAGTAATGGTGTCACTATTTTATTTGAGGATAAAATAAGTTAAATAGAATTTGAGTTTTATTTCATTCACAAATTTGTACCAAACACACATTGCATCGAATTCTGGTTTATCATAATTAACATTATCACAACGTGGGTATATAAATTATCAATTAATTAACTTATAGACGATCACTATACTATTAGAAGAAAAAGGCCAAGTACAGTAAAGCATGAGTTACCTACTTTGAATTTCACAAAGGGGAGGGAAGTAATTAAATACCTAGGTTAGGTTAGGTTGAAAATGAGTGGGATGATCTCATCGCCCTCCACCGCGACCCAGATGGGTCTATTGTGGCTCATAACTAACTTATAGTTCACCGTACAAGCCACACCTTTTGATGAAGGTCATGGTTGAATTGGGTGAGACTTCTCTAAAGTCGGTAGGCTCCAGTTGGGTAAATCCGAAGATCTGGAACCTGGTTCTTTCCAGAGCGGAGCAGGTACATAGAATGTGCTCTGCAGACTCGTCCTCCACGCTGCAGAATCGACAGTCCGATGTTTGTTGCAGACCTATCCTTCTCATGTGGTTGTCCAGACGGCAGTGTCCTGTCATCAGTCCAGTGAAAATGCGTAAATACCTACATGCTTTTAAATAATTAAGAAGCGACCGGGTGGTGGGAGAGGTTCAACGTGTCCGAGCGTTTTTCCCAACACGCCCCCATTTATTTATTACCGAATTTATTCCATTCGGGTGTTCCACACTGTATTTAGATTTTTACTTTTTTAAAGATGTCATTTAATTATAGCTTGAACAACAAGGGGCCCATGACAGTTCCCTAGGAACACCGTCTCGCATGTTAGAAAGCTAGTGTCATCTATTTTAACGCATTGTTTTTAATGCGGACGCACACATAAATACCTACACATTACCTAATCTCTTCATTATTTTATTCAAAATATTTTATTAAATATTATTTATTATATATTATATAGCTATGACACGACCTCGACACTGATAATTTTTTAAATCGGTGTTTTTCAGCTGCGATTAAGAACCACATCACATACCGCTTAAAATTTACTGACAAACAAACATCCCGTTCGGATAGAGTCGTCCTTCGGGATATTGATCCTTACGAACACTATTCATAAGGCTTCTACAACACTGTCCGATAATTTTACGCGCGGGTCTACTTCGTATTTGGTGTATGGAACTGAATGGAATACATTTCTTGAAGCATTTGTGGTCTAGATATAGAACGTACAGTGGGTGTGACTTAGTTTTGTTCATCTGTAAAATGTAAGTTGCAGCTTTCGATGTTCTTATCACTTTCTTTATCGATTTTATCAAACATTTTCACTTGAAAATGTGCCGGCAGCTAAGATAGTTAAAAGAAAAGAGTTATTTTTGATTGAAATACATATGGGTGGGTACAATCAGGGATCTGAAGCACCTGCCTGAAGAAATTCACTAGTTACATATTGATTTTTCTTTTTTTTTATTAAAGATTCAATGAAATATTTTGCAACAATTTTTATAATTGAATTAATCGATGAAGTTGATTTAGTTTTTCCAATTGGTTTAAATTTAGAACAAGTATAAATAGAAAAGCCGGTTTATAGAGTTTTTTTAGTGTTCCTATTACAAAATAGGTGGATTTAATTCTTATCTGTATCAATGTTTGTGAGAATTATTGGATATGAATGAGTAACAGTATATCATAAAAGCCTGATCAACATCAACCAACGACTCATGTTTATTCTTCGTAAATGTTAATCATATATCTAGGTAATGGTAATAATTATTTAAAAGTATGATGTCATTGGACAAACAGGAGTCATTCAATAGCTATAATCTAATATATGTACATTCTTCACGGCTGTGTGAATTCAGTTGTTGACTAATGCTGTTATAAAAAGTACCTGTTTAAATTTAATATTTTTTTTTTAATTTAGTGATATTGAATCTTATTTTTTACGTTCTAGTCAATCGTAACTGAAGCAAAGCAAACATGAGCGGCCAACAGTATTATCCTTTCAAAGTAAGTAATATTTTTTTTTGTTAATTCAAATTTTAGTAGGTATAGGTACTACTAGTTTTCGCGCCGACACTTTATCTAGGTCGAAGAATTTAAAGCTCCCTATTCAGTCATTAAAATAAAATAAAATAGTTTATTGGACAATAGAATGAAATATTTAGTACAGGTATTTCGCCATTTTCACTGGGTTGAAACAGCTATTTAAAAAGAATTGGTGTATCCGCCATTTTTGCAAAAAAAAAACTATTTTATTTGGCGTAGTCGCCCTTTTTACGTCATATTGTTAGGTGTTCCTGCGCCAAATTGTATACATATAGCTACCTATATTATTTATTATTTGGAACAACAATTTAATTAATAGTGGGTACTTTCTTGAAAATCAAGGAAAGTCAGGAAATTTAATTGAAGGAGGAAGGAGTATAGTCAGGGCAAATTTGCGATTATTTTTATACACGAAATATTTTTGATCTAATCTTTCCTGCACGATTCGATTTTTCATTACTATTTAAAAAAATATCTATTTCATCTTACATATTGAAATTAAAGTTTGTTTTGTTATTGTTATTTCTATTTTTAAATTATGACAGTGATTTTTAGTGCAACAAATTTACTCTAAAAACTGCGATGATACGTTAATGAGTTTACACACCTGCTAAAAATAGCTTAGCGTGGAGGCATTTTTTTATTACTAATGTTTGCAACTTTTTCAATAAATATGTCAATTTAATATTAACTGAAAATTATTATAGTTATTATAATCGACTGTTTTAAAAGGATTTTTTATTATATTACAGCAATTTACGCTTAGGTCATATTTTATGTTTTATTTTATTTTTATTTGTATGAGATAAAAAATTAAGTCGGTTTTTTTTAATATAAAATAACATTTTGTATGTAAAATTTTTGTAATACTGTTATCAATTATATTGTCACGATATCTAAGGCACCGAATTTTGTATTTAAATAACTACCCCATATATTTCGCTTTAGGAAAATAGGGGACGATTTACTAGGGGACGATTTATTAGGTAACGATTTAATAGGGGAGATTTAACAGAGGATTGTTTAATAGGGGACAATTTAATAGGAGACGATTTAATAGGGAATGATTCCAGAAGTTCTAAATTTAGCTGTTCTCTCGCCAGATTTAATCTCAATGGACGAAATATCAGTAGTTACAGTTTTTTCGTTGTATCAGGTTTTCTAGTTCGATTTTTTTGGGAAAATCACTAAATATTCAAGAATTCAATAAGGAATATTTCTAGTACATTAAAGATTTATGGATCCGTTGAAAAATATACCACAAAATCAATACCATAAACAGTTTAAAAGATATTAAAAAAGGTGGCAATTGGTAATTCTTTTTAATCCCACGGTCATAAGGCGTAAAATATACAGGGTGGGCCAACGAAAACAAAACAGTTAAGTTTACGGTTCTTAATGTCTTTAACACGTCAATTTATTTGTCGAGGAGAAAAACCTTTAGACTTAATTCTAAACCTCTATCTTTAACCCCTTGAACAGGGTGCTGTGCACCCCTATAATCTTAAATGGAAAGTGGGGTTGAACGACACCTTGTTTGAAAAGTCTTTCAATTATCTTTTCAATGATGCCTCATTTGTGAAATGAGATGTCAATTTGACATTTTAAATTTCAAATTTATTCGTTTCAGTTACAAAGACGCTTACAAAATCAAAAAGATAATTTAATAATTTTAATAGCCCAATTGATAACCATGCATGCATTGCATCATGCTTACCCCCTCGAAAATTGTTGTAACCTTAAGGCAATAAGCTGAATTGGCGGAATGTTTGAAAATCAATAATTTTTTATAAAAAGCAGAATGTCCGTCTTATCTTTAAATTTAAAAATAGATACACAACAAAATTTAGCCAGTACTACGCTCGAGGATAGTAAAGTGCTTCCTGTTATTCAGTGGTTTATAATTTTCTGGATTGTACAAAAATGGTTTACACTTTAGCATAGCTGAAAGAGTTGATATTATTTCAATATTCTATTCAAATAATGAGTACAGATCAGCTGAGATTGTTAACCAACGGCATCCAGACAAAAATTTACCCAAAGTGGTTCGGTACTTAACAAAAAGCGTGATATTGTAAATATGTAAATGTTAATGAAGCAGTGAAAGTAGCTGTTATAGGTCATGTGATTCAAGATCAAACTAAGTACGAGGAAGTTGAATGGTGCATCAGGTGTTAGCGCACGAAGAATATTAAAAAAAAACATAAATATCGTTCTTATAAAATTCAATTAGTGCTGAACGAGGATGACTTCGGCTGGCGACTGCATTTCAGCGAAGTTATAGTGACCGAGCAAATTAAGGCCCACATTTACTATTTAACATTTGTTTTTCCGACGAGTGCTCTTTTTTGTCAATCGAACTGTAAATCGCCACAACTGTCGTTACTGGATACACACGCAACATCCTGAAAAGTTGAACGTGTGGGCTGGTGTTTTCCGAGACCATTTAATTGAACCTTTTTTTTTATCCGGCACTCTGAATGGAGAAATGTATGTAGATATGTTGGAAAATTTCATGGAACCTGCCATTACTCAAATAGTGTAAAACGATAAGAGTCATTTACCAAATCCAATAATGTTCCAACAGGACGGCGCTCACGCATTATGCACAACAGGTGCATTTCCAGGAAGGTGTATTGGTAAAGGGGTGCTATTGAATACCACCAAGATTTCCAAATTTGGCTCCGTTAGATTTTTATTTGCGGGGACATCTAAAATATAAGATCTATGCTATGTTCATACATTGAGTTATACAGTTGCCATGATGTGTATTAATAATTTTGTTGTGGGGATACGACTTGAATTTGCTGTTATTGATTGCGTAACTAATGTGACTACTGTAAGTAGGCACGTGACAGTTAAAATGGTTGCCTGATGGCACACAATCCATAAATTAACATTGAGTTGATAGGTGTTTGATTTTGTTTTCGTGCAATAGGATTTAATTTTCATAATTAATCTACTTCAAAAAAGGAAGAGGTTCTCAATTCGTCGGAATATCTTTTTTTTTTTAATTTATGTTCAGTGATAATTCTTTACTACGTTGTTCGATTTACCTATAAATTTGGTAAATATCTAATAGAGGGGTCCATAAGAAAATAATCAAACTTAATTTTTTAGGTATTTTTAGCGATAATTCTTTACCACGTTGTCCGATTTCAGTAATTCTTTTTTTTTTGTTAGAAAGAGGATACCTCAGGGGTACTTCCATACACAATTGGTAAGGATCTGATGATCTATGAAAAAATAAAAAATCTCAATTTTTAAGGGCATCTGCACGATTTTGAAGTCGGTTTTTTAAAATTACTTTTATAACTTGTATATATAGTTTTTAATAACAAAATTAATTAAAACGGTAAATAATTTATAAAATGGCAAATTTCAGTCTTTTTTTAATCAATGGTGACGTAGCGACTTGTTTTTGTGGGCGCGTTCAAGTATGGCAAATGTGAAAGATTATATTTTTTTCTTTAATTTATAATGCCATTATATTACTTAGTAGGAAAATAATTATTAATGCAAAACTACTATTTTGTCGAATATTTTATTATTTACATAATTAATTAACTTACCCAATGATAAAAATGATTAAAAATAATGAATTTTGACTTATTTCTTGTAATAATTATTGGCTGTACATTAATTCATTTCTTGTTCCTTGTTCATATTACATCCTGCATAGAAGATTGCTATCCTAAACTACACAATTATTAATAAATAAGGCAACAAAATTATTTTTTCTACCATCACTATCCAAAGTAGGCTTTCGCGCTTTGAAATCCGACCGCAAAGTTGACGTTTTCCGCGTACTGACATTAAGTGACAGCTTTGTTGCTCGCCTAATTTAAATTTGCTATAATACAATATTTCTTTGTAATAAATGATTTTCAAGTTATTTATACGTACTTACATGTTTCTGCGTTATGTTATCCAAGTTAACATGAACTTTGAACATCAACTGCCTTTTTCAGGATTAACGTAGGTATAGGCAGCACATTGTATACTACTTCCTACAAATTTTCAGTTTTTATATATATATTTCTTAAAAAATCGTGATCGTAGAAAAAATATTGTGTGTATTTTGAGGGAAAAGTTAGTTCCCGCTTTCGACAGATTGCCGCGTCTGCTACGCGTCGTGTGTGTAACTTTCTCAAACGGAAAAGTATCACTTTTCGCTCTTAATACACAAATAGCTATTAATTCACTCTAAATGTTAAAAACTGCTTGTACCATTTTCATATATTATTTAGTTTAAGTACATGTAACTAAAGTTGTCTTATTTGATCTGATGTCGTTTAAATGGGTTGCATAGTAATTAATTCACCTCTGCTGTTACAATTTACAATCATGCAAGTCACTGGTATGTTAAACATAAATCAGTCGAATGCAATGTATTTTCCGATGTATTTTCTTTATATTATTCTTTATAGCCTATATCTGTACCTAGTACAGGCCTGCACAACATACGGCCAGCGGGCCGCTTGCGGCCCGCCATTGTCGTTTTCTTGGCCCTATGTATTTTTATCAATTTGGCCCGCCTACGTCAAATTATACATTTTTCAGTATCAAAATTGGATTATTGGATTTTTTGACAGGACTTTAGAATACCTAATTAATGTGACTGCGCATCATGTTGCTGCAGTCAGAGCTGTTGATGCTAAGAAATTAGAATCGGATCTATAGAGAAGAAATGTAGATAATGTAATGGTAAATATCTGACTAATGCCATTTTTACGACAGTAATATCCCTATTATGAATAAACATCTCGCTTCGTTCATATGCAAGGTTTACCTACTTAATTAATTATTCAAAGCACCCTATAGGTATAATCCAATAAATAACACAATATAATAATTTTCCACGACACACTGACTCATCTAGTCTTGATTTAGCCTTCTAGAATGGCCTTCGGATATTTCAGCTATTTTACATCAAGCAATCAGATTATTTTTAGCCTCTC